TTAGTTTTAGTCAAATTTTTATTAGTAATATTCAACATTTTCTTTTGAGTGCAGGTGAGAAGTGATAATTATGAGGTGATAAAAAACCTACACATTCTCTATGATTTTGTTTGCTATCAATAGAAATCACATCTAACTAATATTCGAAAAAGGCTAATAAGTTTCATTAATTTATTTCACTAAATTGGGAAGAGAATGGGTCAGGGAGTTTTTGCTCAACTCAATTCGAAGCATCGATGCTGAGGTTCTATTCCACACAGGAGCTAACCTAGTCATAAAATTCAAATGATATTGGCGCGATCTATTACTAAAGAGACTTCTTGACATATTTGTTCCCTAAGACAAACCAGCGGACCACTAATGATGAGGGCTCTTGAAAAGAAAAAGGGTATAATTATAGTAATAGTTAAGCAGTACAAAATAACATAAAAAATCCTACTAATCGCTTTCAACATTATTTGATTATCGTAAAATATAATCAGCTTTATAGCCAACAAGATTCCAGAGACCAATCATCTTCTTCTAACATCCCTCACCAATATGGTTCTAGTTCCACAGGTTCCCAAATCGCTCGATTCGACACCATGATGCAGGGCCATACCACTCACCAAAATTTCAAACATCATTTATGTTCATAAACCAAACTTTTTAAAATCAAATCCATACTTTCTTTCAAACATTTTCAATTCTTTCATATGCTAATTCGTTAAACTAGCGCAGAAGTTTTCAAATCCAATGAATCTTTTCGAAATCTTCTTTAAACCAATCATTAAATCACCAAATTAAACTCGCACCAACGAACGCACCAATTTTTCACCAACGAACTTTATTATGCAATATTCGTTTAATTAACGCAATTAACTAAATTTCTAACAAAAATAACCGTTCTTTCAACCGTTTATTAGAATAACATTTAATAATAATGATTATTGAACTCCACAAAAAAAAAGAGAAAAATTCATACTTTACAAATTTTATAATTTATTTTATAACATATTTATTTTGAAAAAAAGAGGACAAAAACTAAAAAAAAAAAAATATGCAGTTAATTCAGGAAGCTGGTATGAAGGAAGAATAGAATCGATGGGTATTTTCATTCCTCAACCGAATCGTTCTAATAAAAATAAAAATAAAAATAAAAAATAAAAATAAAAAAACAACAACACTTACCCATAGATTTGACTTTTTTTTCTTTTTTTTTAGATCAAATATAGCCTAGAAAAAAATCTTTTTTTTCTTGGCCATAAACTGCGACCATAAATTTATAGCCAAAAAAGAAAAAATCTGAAAAATATCGGAAACCACAAAAAAAGAAAAATTATACCACAACATATATGAAAGCAAAATACAATGCACTGCTGAAAAAAAAAAGAAAAAACACCTTCTACATAACGGCGGGGATATAATGAGAGAACGACGTTAAGCTAAAAATGATAATAATAATAATTTCCTATTTAATTGTTTATTTTTATCTATCGACCTAAATGAAATAAAAATCTCCTCTCAGCTATCCTCTTTTTTGAAGCAAAAAATAAAAAAGGAAAAAAAGGAAAAAAACTAGACCTGACGAATATTTAAATCTATATTTAATATATATAATATATATATTAAAAAAAGGTTTAAATTCAATTCAATTCGAAAAAAAAATCGAAATTCCTAGAAACCAACATTCATTTACTTCATTCACCATAAATCCATACGATAATAGTTTGGTTCTTCTTCCTATTAAAAAAAAGGAACCCACAAACCGAAAATTTTTGCCAATTTCGATTTCTAAATGAATTCATTTATCATCCATAAAATTTTTTAGGAATTCTTTTAAAATTCTAATATTTTTAAGCAAAAAACAAAAACTTTGACATAAACGTAGAGGCACAAAAATTATAAAAATTACACTCACATATATTTTAAAAAAAATAAATTTTAAAAGTAAAAAAATTAGAGTTTTTTTTACAAATGAGCTAGTGGGTAGGAAAAAAGCGAAATGGATCGACTTGAATGATTTTACTAGTAAAAGATACGATGTAATTTAAGTTGGTACCAATTTTACGTATGTTTTCTTTTCTTTACATCTCAATGCAAATAGGCCTTCCTACGTTGCCGTCTCATACATATTCATGCATACATGTAAAAAAAATTTAATTAATCTGAATATGACATATACATTTTTCCAATCAAAAATTATTATATTCGTTGGATCTTTTCCGAAACAATCACCGGATTATTCTTACGAATTTCTTCACGTTCCATCGTCTTATAATCAAAAGAGCAGTTATGCGCCGAATCGTATCGATGCTCACCGCAATATAAACCACCGCAACGGCATAAAAATCCTGAAATTTCCGATGTCCAATGAAAAACTACAATGCGTATCGTCTACAACTGAAGGACGTTAGTTTAGCATTGACATAATTTTATACAAAAGAAATCTATTTGCGATAGACGGGTAAGGCAAATAAAAAATTTGCGCTAAATAGCTTAAACCGGTAAAATCATTAACTTAAATTTCGCACCATTTGTTATATTCCCAATGGTCCGAAATGATCCTAATTTTTTTCATCTGATCTAATCTGATCTAAAAAAAAAAAAGAAATTGATTATACTAACAAAACAACTCAAACAATCTAAACAAATTTTCCTATTTTATATTTTACCTCAATAATTTTCTCATTTCTCATAATACGTTGATTTATTGATGTCTCTCTGCAAACTGATGTATCTAAGCAAATAACAGCAACATTATTATATCGACGAATATGAATAAGTGCTGCTGGCTTGCCTATCGATTAAATCGACAAACAAAGCAAACCTGTTAGACCGACGCGTTTCTTGCACATATAGCACCGATTCGGTTTTTTCGGTGCAACTGGTTGCGTGCAATAACTAGATTCGGACATTGCAGTTGTTCCAGCTGTTCCTTCAAGACTCGCAACAGAACTATAATTATAGTAAAAATGAAAGAATGAAAAAATAAAATTTAAAAAATTCAAATTTTCTTAAATGAAATAAAATAAAAAATTTGAATAATAATAATTTAATAATGAATATTAGGGAAATTATATCACATATTAATTCATTAAATAAACTAATAGCGTAAAGATTTAAGCGAAAAATCTCAATTAGAGACAAGCCAAACATCTGTAATATTGAAAACTAATTCTAACTCTGAAAAATTGACCCGACCTTATGGATTAATAGAACTCAAAATAAAGCAAAGACAAGACTAGACCAGATGACATTATCTCGATTCGAACAAATAAAGCTTCATCTTGCAAAAGTAGTAGTAGTACAAAAATTGCCAATATTTATATCCTATCATCCTCAATGAAAACTGATGAGAAACAGATGAGTTCAGAGATTAATGTTTGGCATTTGACCCACGATTTAATATGACCCATTTCATTTTTATATACCATCTTTATGAGATTGATGAGACTTAAAAGAAATAAAGCTTTGAATATACCTCTATAAACCTCTGTAGTTCATTATTAATCTTTTTCCACATTTTCTGCATTTCATAATTTACGTACGAAGAATTAGATTCATAGAAATCATTTAACAATATTGCCTAGCAATAGCCAAGAAATCCGTGAATAGAATGCTTTAATTGACCCCTTTCATTTCGAACCGCCGATATTTATTCTCGATATTTGAGTAAAACCCATATTTGATGTTTGGTTCGCTAAGCCAGCCAGTAGAATGAATCTAATCAGCAATGTCGGCTTCTCTCAAAAAATAACAAAAAACAGAAGGCAACTATAGTAACCAATGATTACTTCATTTATGATTACTTCATTTTTCAGTTTTCAGTTTATACGACAATTTTTTACAGATTTTACAGAAATCGGTACAGTTATCGGTATATATCGGTAATGAGCAGACAAGTGAAAAAAATTTCATTGACGCAAAAAAAATTTGAAGGACAAAAAAAACGCAACCACAGTCGTCCAGTTGTCTTATCTCTAATAATACCTTTCTCACGTGCGTGAATTTATTATTATTTGTACGTGTGGCGCGATTTTTAATGCATTTGGTCAAAGTGCAAGTAGAATATATTGATAACGCCAATTCCATGAAAACATGCAAAAAATGCAATATTATATCGATACCGATATTGATAAGACTTCTCGTAACGAAAAGTTGAAAATTCACGGAAAACTCGTGCAAATAGGGAAATGGCCGAAAAGCCATAACATACACACTATTTTAAATCCAATTTCATTCGAACAGAATGTTTTATTATATTAATGCGCAAATTAATTTGCTAATGCATATGAGCATCAAATTAAATCATTTTAAGGAAATTTAAAAATTAATCTTAAAAAATCAAAAATATAATTCGAATATCTTATTTTAAACCCATAAACAACAAAGAATATAGCCAAGTGAATTAGCAAGTGGATTAGTCTGTGGTGCCTCAGACAAGACTAACAAAAAAATCCGGATGGTACCAACAATCTATACTTCTATCGGTAATTTATTTTCTCTTCAAAATTCCTCATCATAACGCAACCAACGAGGCGAATCTAACAACCAGCAGCGTGAACCTAATCAAAATCGCTAATCCATTATTTACCTACTTAACACGAATAAATAAAAGATAGAAATCACGGAACCTATATAATCCTTGAGACACAATTTAAAAATTTGAATATAAACTGCAAAATCAAAATATAAATTTTCCCTTCCATTTTATATCACTTATCAGTTTATGTCATTCATTTGATAACATTTCCCATTTCGCTACCAACTTTCACTGCAGAAACAGAAGGATCAGAATGAAATGGGAAGAGGAAATTTCTTGCAAATGAAACGTAATCCACAAAGCAGAAACCACAACAATAATATATATCGCAATGCGTTCATCTCTTCTTTATTCACAATGAACTATATTATAAATCGATAATAGTTCATAGATGAACTATATTATAAATCGATAATTTATAGATGAACTATATTATAAATTGATAATAATTCATAAATGATCTGAATAGAGCACATTATAGATCAACGAATTTATCCACCAAACATATTTTTCCTTGAAGATTTCTCCTCAATCAAATTATTAGCAAATAAAATTAAGAGATTAATTCGAAAAACCAAACGAATATTTATTGATTTATTATTTAGAACTGAAAATCTTTAATTTCTAAATGCATGATGGTACTTGAACAGTGTTGCTGAAAAATGAAATACCCACCTAGAATTCGACAGTAAACCCGGTGAGCTACCTGATTCGGGTAAAATATGAATAAGCTGAGCATCATCAGCTGATGCAACAGCTGATTCGAATTGCGCAGTGATATCTTCAGATGATTTTGCCACTTGCGAACATGACACCTTGAAGAAAATATTTTAAAAAAAAAACTATATATAAGTGGAAATTTGCCAACAAAAAAATTTACGTTAAAATAAATTATCAAATTTTACGTAAGCAACTACAACAAATTTATATTAAAATAAATAAGAGATAAGACTAAATAAAAAAAAAACAAAATAAACCTCTCGGCATTTGTCGAGAACGATTGCTGAAGTTGATGCGGAATCCAACGAAGCTCCTGATGTATCCATATCAACTTCAATCGATTTCTGCGACTCATCAGTCGTTGTAAATTCTAAAGCGCTCGCAACTGTCGTATGTTCATCACGTACATTATCACTATTTTCTGCTATTTCTTGAACTGCTGATTCAACAACTAACGGTGGTGGTGTTAAACGTTTCGTTGCGCTTTCTGGTAATAAAATATGACGATTCGTAGTCGTTGTTTTATCATCATTCATACGTGGCGGAGATGACGTAAAACGTGGTATTGTCTCTTGTTTACGTTTCAATTGATCCTTAAAACATTTCGAACAAAGTCCATCAAAAGCCGACGAACCATAAAAACCGCATCCACCCTTACACATCGGCGAATTTTGTTGCTCATTTTCCATATTTTCTTAAAAATTTTAAGACTTAATCTATTTTTTTAATTTGTTAATTTAATAATTAAACGTGCAATGCTTTTAAAATTCGAAATTTATTGATTGACTAACTCGTAATCCAATTTTACTTTTTTTTTATAATTCCTATAGGTAAAGGTATCAAATAAATATTATACATTATAATAAAATATTTTGTAAAATGACTTTTAATTATTTCGGAAATAACGACTATCAAATTAAAAAAAGATTTCTCATCAAATTATGAATGAAATCCATATGTGCATAATACATAAATATTACATGTACCACATCTATATTTTATCGCATTCCATTCATAGAACAAGTTTAACGACTCAAAAAGACACTCATGATAATGATTGGCTTCAGCAAACAATACCTTTCATCATCATCATATAACCAACCAATTATAGAAAAAGTTGGTTAAAAATTGGTATAATTGCAAAAAAAAAAGCCTATTTTAATAAGCTGAGAAAAAAGAAAAAGGATGAAAATATAACAACGATGAGGAAATAGCGCTCCTAATGAAATAAAAATATTCTCTTCGCTAATAGCAAAAGAAAAAAAAACGGAGAGTCGACCAACCAACCAACCAAATGATCAAACAATTCGCGTTAAAATGAGAATTGTAAAGAATTTTTAAACAACCCCACTATTTGTCGGTTTCATTATCTAATTGAAAAACAATGGCAGCAATAGGTAAAAATCCTAATCGTCGGTCCCTTTCTCTCATTTATATTACTGAGACGAAACGAATAGGCATGAGAAAAAAATGGAAAAATTAAAAATGAAAAAAATCATTTATCGCTACAAAACCGGAAATTTTTCAGATAAAAACCGCGAAATATATGCGGAACAAGAACAAAAACTCCCTCTGTACTATTTCAATAAATGCAATGGTTACGGTGGGTGGTGCCTACTCGTTGCACCGCCCACTTATTGCATTACACTTATTGAAGTAGTGCAGCAAAAAAAAAGAAAAAATAATATTAATAAAATAATAATAAAAAGCCTAAAAATAAAACTACCTTCAAAACGCTTTTCAAATATGTAATTTACAAATCTTAAAAATCGAATCGATTTGAATAATTCACATTAACCAAATGAGTAAATCAATAAATCAATCAATTTAGATTAAATGATTAAGAAAAAAACAGGAATACAAAGACATGTGATTTACGCGAATCAACTAAAAGAATTGATCCTTGTTAAATCAAGAAAAAAAAATTTTCCCTGCTATTAATTCACTAAAGACAACTGAAAAAAACTATTTGACCTTTGACACTTTGACACGACTTCGATGATTAGTTTCCCGGATATAATTCGTCTTAATCTAAGAATGGAGTGGAACTTCGAATATCTATAATATAAGTACCACATTGGGGGAATGAATTCAACTCTCAATGAATCAACATAATCGATAAAATATGCGTATGAGAAAAGAACAACATATGTATTAGAATACAACGAAATTTGGAATTCCCATACTTCGTTAAAGAAAAAGGCGCATAACCTACCATCTCCCCTAAAACCCTTCGCAACCCCGCAAAGCACCATTTAACAACATTTTAAAAAAAAACTAATATAAAGACGACGAAGAGCAATGCACGTCACCCAATCGACTAAAGCAATTCAGTTATTTTCAATCTCTCTCTGTAAGCACCACCCCCTCTTTCTCTTTCTAAATATCTCTCCAATTGCCACACTGTCTCAGCATTAACATAATCATATAACGAGCAATGACGACCACATGGGCGGGGTTTTCGAAGAAAGCCATCAAAGATGAACTTGACGAAAGGTCAAAGGCCGTGAATTCACTTAAAAAAAGACCCGATACGACTCGAAGCGGCCTTTTCCAGGTTAGGAAATCGGACCAATATGGTACTTAGAAGCTGAGATCGGGTCGAAATTTGATCAACATTGACATTAACGGTTAGTTTTCATTTAGCTCGTTCTTTTGAGTACAAAGACAAAGAATTCGCCAAAGAATCACTTGAAAATGTCCAAAGTACATCGACTGAACTTATGCAATACTTATGTGATTTAACCAGATGGTGCTAAGGATCCCGCTAAGGATCCATCCATTCATTCCTTCCTAAACTGGTTCCACTGTCTCACTAGTGGAACTATTTCATTAATGGTGAACGCTAACCACTAATATTAATTCGATCATCGATACCTCCTATCGCTCATTTTCGCTAATATTTCGTATAAAATGAAATTTATTTTTGCGAACATTTCGAGAATAGACGAAATAATAAATCACCTTTGTACGAAAATTTCATTCCATAGCGCTTTTAAAGAAAAACAAAAATATATATAAAATCAGCTGATTGCACCAAAATCGAACTGAATCGAACCAAATGAAATGGAATGAAAAACGCTATTATTGTTCATTTCTATTCAACCAATCCATCCATGCACCTCGCCTATTCATTCACCAAATTCCATTCACTCATCCACAAATCCATTCATCCATCCTACCTATTCATTCACCCATTCATCCATTCATCAATTCATTACTGCTTTCCTCTCCTCGTTTTTTCTCGATATTTCACTTCCTAAAATCCTTAAAATAATAATAATTCACTAACTTTATGGATAAAATTAGTAATTTTAAATAAGTAATTTTATTGAATTTTTCTAAAAAATGATAATTCGATGGGGGCGATTTAAGCGAATTGATAATTCTCATTAACGATCGATTATTATAAGAACGAATAAAATAAAATATTTAATTGATAAAAATAAAAATAAATTCCAACGAAAAGAATTACTCGCCAAATTTTTTTCTTCTTTTTCGTCTAAACCCACTCAACCATTCCTAATTTGAGTATCGGAAAAGTTCGTTTACGATTTTTAACGTCAGACGAGTAATATTTGGTGAATAAAAAAAATTTTGAAGTTGGTTTGATGAGTCTCATTTTTTATTGAAATATATTACTGAAATAGAATTTTGAAATTATGGAACATTTGAAATTCCCCTTCCTCCCCCTCTCCCCTCAAATATTTGATTGAGCGCGAAATAATAATTTAAAATAGTCGTTGAGTAGGCCAACCTGCTTGGCCTATGAGCATATTTTTTAAGTAAAGCCATTTTCTAATCAGGTTAGCCCTGTTGGCTATTATTCATGTTATTATTATTACTGCTATTGGTTAGAAATTTCTGATTTGAGGGAGACAAAATTGAGCGATAGAGATAATAGGTTGTTCGGGAATATAGCCCACATTTTTTAGGAATAAGTTTACTACTATTCGTGTGCAATAGTCATATCTCTCCTTATCAACGTGATAAGCTAAACCACTATCCACTTGACCGTCGTTTTCGCTGGTTTTGACACTGGTTCTTCGTCGTCCACCATATGATTTGACATATATTTCGCTACTTCTAGCTTAACCCTTGATGTGGGTGGCGTCAAAAGCGAAATGGGCCAATCAAGAGTTGGACTGTTCTAGACACGAAAGATTTTTGAACGTGTAGGTAGACCAGCGGCGATATATGGACTTAGACGATGGAAAAAGGAATGGCATTTATTATTATCAACGATGGCGGCTGATTCGCGCAGTTTCGAGACCTCTTATCCTTGCAGCCAATGGAACCAACCTAAAGCAGTAACGGTGAGAGCTATTAAAAGAAAAGACTCGGCTTTTCTCCCAATCTATATATATATATATTTTTTTTTTAAGGGTCCTTACTATTGCTGGTTAAACCAGTTCATGTTAAAGGTTAAACTCGCTCCACTGGATTGTCGCAATTGAGCAATATGCCAAGGAATCCCTTGGTGATAGAAATACAGGCGAGTCGCCAGCCGGATTTTTGTACTCCTGCGGGGAATCGAACCTCAGCATCGCCACTCCCGATTGGGCAACAACCCACTGAGCCATTCTATCCCAATCTATATATATTATGAGCTTATAAGCTTATTTCATCGTTATTATATATTATATATACTACTCGAATCGATATAAATGACGAGAAAAGCGATGGGCGTTAGTAACGGCGATAGCAATAGGGGTGATTGGCCGTCGGGCAATGACGACGATGATAATGACGACTGTGAGAGTTTAAGGTATGATCGATTTCTAACTGATGAAATTGATATATGTATCAATTAAAACGGCGAGAATTGAACGTCATTTATAGCCTTAGTCGATTTAGCTTAAAGCAACGACTGAAAGTAAAACTAATGGAGAGAAAATTTGGCAAAAAATAGCGAATTTTTCTGATCTTTGATCATCGAAAATAACGACAAGTAGATTAGTAAGTAGATTAAAGTAAGTAAGTAATTAAGTAAGTATTTGAAATGTAACGATTCTAAATGAATACTTGTCAAAAATAATGAGTTATTTATATAAAATACTCGAATATTGGTACTTTTTTTTTTCATACATTTCAATAAATAGTTTTTTTTTTTTTGTAAATTACACTAATTTTAAAGCAATCATTAATAATTATATGAAAAACCAGTTCGTGTTAAAGGTCAAACACAAGAATCAGCTGTTTTAGAGATCAGGCTAAATAATTAGATAGACGAAAATCGAAGAACACTTCCTCTTAAAGGTCAAAAGGTCAGGCCAATGAAGTTTTTTTTTTCGTTTTTATCTCTTAATAAAATATTAATAGTAAAATATTAAAGTATAAAAATTAACAAATGGTTTAACGCATATCGTTCGTAGTTCGATTCACTTCATTGGCTATAAGTACGATTAATTAATTAAATTTTTTTTTTTTATTTTTTTTACGACAATGGAAGTACAATTGAATTATTTAGTAATAGGAAATATTGAGATTTATTTGGCTTAAAGGCCAAGCAAACTTACGAACTTTGACCTTTGACGAGAATCTAAGCCTAAGCCACTCGACCGATTTGCCTTCTTTCAATTAAATTATTGGCAAAACGATGAAAATGCGAAAATAAAAACTAGGAAAGCAACAATCTAATATAGCTATCTCATATTTTGTGTTCCTCGAATCCTCTACCAGAAATCTACGAGACCGAGTAAGGCGAAAAGATAGAGAGCCTCGCACAAACCCTCTCATCGAAAGGATCCACTGGATAAATCCATATATTTCTATATGTGCAGTATGTGTAGTATTTTCAGGCTCGAGTCTTGTATCCAGAGGCCTGGAAGATTGAAATAAAGCAGATAAGCTTTCAGAGGGGTCTCGCGCAAAAGTCATATATTTCTAAATTTCCATATGAATTTGACTTTAAAAAATTTTTCATTTATAAGAAATATTTTAGAAATTATTGATGACAATGGTGACAAATAGTGACATATTATGACCATTTAAAATGACAAGAAAATATTTCTAAAACAATTTTTAATTATCAAATTTAAGCGCTTTTATTTATTTTTCTTGAAAGAAAAACCCTAAGTGTTAATTCATTTTGTTTTGAGAGATTGAGATAAGGCAGATAAGATAAGCTTTCAGAGAGCTTCTTTCATTCGGAATTGCTCTGAAAATTCTCACTCGAAAAAAGTCCAATGAATAATTTCTTATAATTTTTTTTTTTTCTATTTCCCTCTTTCATTCCCTTTGGAGTGTTTCAAAATAAAATCCCTAATTCTGATCTCCGTATAAGCGATCCAAATAATTGCCTTTTCTTCAAAAATGACTTAAAGAAAACTTAAAAATATTTCTAATTTTTCAATTTTGTTGATGCACCATAAAAGAAGAAAAGATTTTCCTTGTATTAGTCATCATTCCTATTGGTTTCCACTGGGTAAAATAAATTCAATAATTCTTTATTCTTCTTTTTTGGTAAAAAATTTAAAAATTTTCATTTTTAAGAATCTATAATGTAAAACTTTTTTTTTTTTTTTTTTACAAATTCATCTATTATCTTTCTGGTCGTTTCTGGTGCTAAACACGCTACGCTAGCTTTTTGGATAAATTTTATCAGAGAGACATTTGGTGATAAAAAATATCGATAAGTCGGTGGTATATATTATCAAATAAATAGAGAATGATAAGTTCTTACTTCTGCTAGAAATAGAAAACTATCAGTATTGGCGCTCTAAAATGATTGAATGCAATAAAATATTAAGCCATTCATTCCTTCTCTTTTCGCTGCATTTTATTAATCACTAGCGAAAAATTAAAAATTTTTTTTATAAAAATAGGAATTCGAAAAACAAGTTCCATAAAAAAAAAATAATAAAATGTTGTGAAAACAAACTAGAAAATATCGTAATGGCCCGGCCGGCCGGTTCCATGAAAACGTAATGGCCCGGCCGGCCGGTTCCATGAAAACCAAAAAAACATTTCCATAAACATTTTCGCAAAAATATATTAAAACAAATATTTTCCTTTTTTATTATCAAATGAATCAAATAATTTAATTTAAAACGATTTTTTATTTTTTGTTAGAAATTGGTTCGAAAAAATACACCTTTTCTCACCGCAATAAAATATTTGAAATTTGTAAGTTTTACAAGTTTTCTAAAAAAAATATCAATTTATTTCTAATAATTAGAGTTATTTTCTGTTTTCATGAAGTCAACATTTTGCATGAAACGATAATTAAGGAAGTGATGAATGAAAGGAAATGAAAATTCATTCATTTAAATTGATTTCAGCGTAAAAAATATTATCTTTTATAGTTTCATGAAAAAAAAAGGTTATCAAAGCAATATAGCCAGCCAGAAATGCATGATCAGTAAGCGATATTATCAACTAAGCTGTATGATCAACAAGCGATATTATCAGCCAAGCTGTATGATCAGAAAGCGATATTATCAGTCGAATTTCATTATAAAATTTAATAAATCTTTACGGCTAATCAACTAGCTTTACAATGGAAAATTTAGCTAAGCAAAATTTTTAAAAACTGTTTTTGAATTATTTTAAAAATCAATTTAAAATTAGTTTACTTAATCAATTTTCTTTTAAATGAAATTTATTTAAATTGTAATTTTTAAAAAAATTTAATTTTTATTAATTTTTGAATATTCTCCAATATTCTTTGATCAGTTTTTTTGATATGATAAGAAAGAATTCGAATCGCTCATATCAAAAGTTCATGGCACGTGTTCTCGAATATAAATAAACCAGTGTATATACGAGCAAAAAAAAAAAAAAAACAAATACAACGGCATCGAATTCAGTTAGAAATTATTGCCACCCTAAGAGATGTTTACGGTAGAAGTAAGTTTTTTCGAGGGGTACGCCGGGACGGGGACATGCGGGGAGCAAAGAGAAGGGAATAGAGAGGTTATCTGCTAAACAATTTTAAATTCGATAAAAAAAGAACGCGACTCGACTAATTTTCTTGCAATAAATCAACGTCAGTCATTATTGCCTTTTTGAAAATGCGGTAGAAAAATCTATAAAAGCCGATTGATTTCGATGAAAAAAATAAATTGCAGAGTCCTTTGGTGATTAATTCTCGTACAAGAAATAAACGATGATTAGCTCACATGATTTTTTTTTTGTACCAATAGTCACATCTCCCCTTATCAACGTGACCGGAATGACGAAGAAAAGGACAATGCTAAGTTTAAAGGGATAATAAATAAAATAGGGATAAGATGTGGCAAATATGTGGCCATAGTTGATAAATTTGCCGAAGACCTAAAGTGAATTTCATAGTTTTTGAGGACAATAAAGTTGTCATGAAAAAATGGAGCCTTGACGATATTGAGGATCTAAAAGTGATGCCTTATCATCTTAACAGCCAATAAATAAATAAAATGATTAATATTTATCATTTCTAATTATTCTAATATTGTGCCGAAATGATAATCCAAGCAACAACCACGCCGAGGATTTCAATGAAACGAGTCAAATGGTGTTTAAAAAATGACCATCACAATAAAAATTACTCAATAAAATTATTAAAAATAATAAATAAGTATTAATTAATTAAGTATCAAATACTATCAAAATAATAATAATTATTATAATTATTAATTAACAATTATTATTAATAAAAATTAACAATAATTAATATTTAAAAATATAAAAAAATTAAATGGAAAATAGATAAAAAATAAAATAAATAAATAAAATAAGTAAAAATGAAAAATTACGAAAAAAAAAGAAAAAATACATTATTTAAGCGTGTAAACGCATTTTCTCGTTTTCGCGAAAAGTTTAAAAAAAAAAATGAAAAGTATAAAAAAATTTTTTAAATCTGATAAATGGAAATATTAGTTCGGCGATTTCCATACGAAAAGAAATTTCGATTTATTCTTAAAAACTTTCGAAAGGAATAAAAAAAAAATCAAAATTCACTGAAATATTATTAAATATTAAAATTAAAATTGAAAATAAAAAATTCGGAAAAAAAACTTTTTTTTTAATTTAAAAATAATTAAAGAAAATTCATGTTTTTTTTACGAAAAATACATGCAAATAATTTGTTATAAAATTTTATTATCAAATAAAATTCTTATCAATAGAAGTAAAAGATAAAGAAGCTTGTTCATTTGTTGATTGTTCAATGAATCATCTATTATTTTATCCCTCTATCAATTTTATCATCGAATTTTATCATCTTTTATTTCTTGTTGTAAAAAATTATTTTAATTCAAATCATTTTAATTTTATTTTTTATTTTAGTTTAATTTATTTATTTTAGCTAGAATCGATTAGTTTTAAAGAAAAAATCTTTTCATGATCATTAATCATTTATCACTTATCACTTAGATTAATCATTTAGTGAATTGGAATTTCTTGTAAGAAATTCTTTCGCGAATTTTATTTTTAATCACAACTCACAATATTAATGCGTACGAGACGAACGAACCCATGTTTTAAGAAAATAAATACCCTTGAAATGTCAAATATCATTTTTTTTTTTTTGTGTTCATCTTATAAAATTTTGAAATACTTTAAGATAAACTCTTCAGATTATTTTTCGTAAACGAAGAAAATAATTTTTAGTTTATTTTCTCAAATATAAAATTCATTCAACCAATAATCGTTAAATCATAATTCACAAATTTATCATATCACAGATTTGTTATATTACAAATTTATCATATCGCAGATTTGCTATGTTACAAATTTATCATATCACAAATTCATCACATCACAGATTTGTTATATTACAAATTTATCATGTCGCAGATTTGCTATGTTACAAATTTATCATATCACAAATTCATCACATCTCAGATTTGTTATATTACAAATTTATCATATCGCAGATTTGCTATGTTACAAATTTATCATATCACAAATTTATCATATCATAAATTTATTCATTTAGAGGAACATAGTTGTATTCTATTCTATTTCAATCTATAAGTGAGAGAGAATGAATTCTCTTCAATTTGATAAACGAATGAGCTAATCAAACGAGAAATTTAAGGTGTTATTCTGATTTTTCGTTTTGTTAGATTTATAATGTAAATAAAATAATTTTATTTGGAGAAAAAAAAAATTTTTTTCTATTTTCCTTTTTTTTTCTTTTATTTTTTATACAACTGTTTCTCAATTTTTTTTTCGTTTTTGAACAAAAATCTATTAATGAAAATTAAAAATGTTTCATTATTCGAGCATTTTATGATTTATCAAAATTTTTATGTTTAAAAAATTTCACAGTTGAATGAACAAAAGATTGCTCCTTCTATTATTGCTATTCGTCTGTCCACTCCTTTCTCCTTTCGCCCCTCTCCAATTCCTCTTCATTCTCCACTCCTCTCTCTCTTCCCTTCTCCTCCTCCTCCTCTCCCTCTTCCTTCCTCCTCCTCCTCCCTCTCCCACTCCCCACTATCCCACTCTCACTTTGTCCTTTGTTTAATTAGATACATTCCTCTTTTTAAAATTTTCAGTCATCGTACTGATTGTTACCCTATGATCTTTAAATTTTTTAAAAAAAGCTATTAAATATTTTATATAGGAGCATTGATTTATAATTGCCTAAAAGTAATCATTAAAACTAAATTCTACATAAATCTGTTGAAAATACGAGTTATTCAATTTTTTTTTAATTAATTCAAATAATAACTAAATTAAAAATTCATTCATAATTTATTTTATAATAAATTATAAATTTTATAAATTTTATTTTTATTTTATTTTATTTATTGTTTTTTATAATTTTTTTGTAATTTATAATTTATCCACCTAATGATAATGGTAAAATCATTATCATTATCAGCTTATCAGCTTATTTGTATTCATTGTCAGCTTATTTGTATTCATTCCTTATATTTTTTAATTATAATTTTATTTTTTTTACTTTTTTTTAATGAAATATCTCGGTTCCTCTACCAGAGGCCTAGAAGATTGACGATTCTGCGCAGTATTTTAGCTATTCCTAATAGCGCGCTCTTCTGGATAGAGATCTCTTGCCCGTTGTTCCTGGAATCTGCTGATGCTATTTTTCAGTTTATACACTTCCAAGTGCTCCAGTTATCACTGGGATTACTTTGACTTTACCTTCTATATATTCTCGAGTTCCTCTTTCAACCCTTGGTATCTCTCTAACTTCTTAGATTCCTTCTTTCTAACGTTCCTGCCATTTTTTATTAATATAAATATAAATATTAATATTTATATTTATATTTATATAAAAAATATTCTTTCCCTTTTAATATTTATGTAAAATAAATTTTTTATAAAGGATAGAAAAAAATATCTATCGCATAGCGACTCTCCCATAATTAATGAATAATTGGTTTAACAATACGAAATTTCCCAGCTTTCAAGGGAAAAAAAAATTTATTTTAATATTCGATTCGATATTCAATCATTAATAATGATAAAAATAATAAAAATATTAAATTTTTTTATATATTTGTACCCACTGATGAAATAATCAAGCAAATTGAATACTATGTTTATCACATATGTATCAGATACCAAGAAAATATTTTTGTTTCACCACGGAATTTATTCAGAGAAAAATGATATATTTCAAATAAAGATTATTTATTTTCAATGAAAATATATTCGATGAAACAACTTATACAATATTATAAATAATATGGAACAATAGAGATACCTAAATAAGGAATAAATGATAAAATTTAATTAAGGATTGTTTAAGGTGATAACTGATATCAGCGATTGAAAATAGATCTAATGAACCTTTAATTTTGGTGTGTTAACAAATTCCTCGCCATTAATGAATATGAACAACATTAATGCCAGAAAAATTATCAACCAAAAGAATGTACTAGACGAATTTTCTGAAATACCACAAATATGAAATACGAAATATAAAAAGAAATAAAATTTTGTAAAAATAAAATATTTTGTCAAATTACACTAATTATTTTTACAAGAGAAAGGATAGGCATATTCTAAACAGTTACAGAGTTGAGAAATTCATGGTTGCATTTATCCGCTCGAATACNTGTTCTTCACTTCACTTCTTTACTTTAAAGAATAATGAATATTTGCAGTTTGGGCAGATAATGGTGATGAATGTAGCAAACAGTATGCTGGAACTGGTGCATTGAAGGTATTCTTTATCGATTTTTTACGGTCTTTTTTTCATTTTACTGAAGTTTGTTTTTGAGTGGTATTCATTCAAAAATTTTTCTACTTGTCGTTTTGATTTTTAGAAAATTTTCATGTAGTCATTTTATCATTTTCTTTTGTAGGTTTAAGAAATATGATTTCATTTTTTTAAAAACTTCATTTAATATGAATTTCTCATAAATAATTTTTGCAAAGGCAGATTATACTAGAATGGGAAAGCGTACCTATGTTGGCACAATGCAAGATGGAATCAATGCTATGATGCGATATTTCAGGAATAATTTTGCAGATGGATATCGTCAGGTTTTTTTTCCATTATTCGAGAAGTATAATATAACTAAAATTATATGAGCAGATAAGTTATCAAACGTAATCTTAACATGAATTTGTAATAGTCATCTATAATTATTTTTAGGATGCAATCGACCTTTTCCTTGGGAACTATCGTATTGATCCTGACAATCTCCCATTGAATTTCGAAACGGCCATAATAAGTTTTGATTATCATGGGGGTGCAATAATTGGAGCTATATTTGCTGCAACTATGACGATACTTTGTGTTCTAGTCGCGGGTAATAATTTATTATTATATTCAACGATGAACCCATTTTTTTTGCCTGAAAGTATTATTAATGAATTATAAGCAAATAAATATTGTTTAAATTTCAAAAAATAATTTTCATAATTTGAAAGATGCTTCAATATATATTAATTGAAGTGTTGTTTTTTTATTTTCTAAAACCCTCTTCATTTCTTGATTTGACTGGCTATAAATATTCGATATTCCCGGTGTTTCTCGANATCCAAAACAGAAAATGTAAAATGTAAAGTTATATGCAAAGTTTGCGATGGCCCATTTGTATGATTACGTAAGTGACCCAGCGATAAAAATGGAGTAATAAATTTTTCGCTACAGTGCCCGATCGAGAAACACCGGGAATATCGAATATTTATAGCCAGTCAAATCAAGAAATGAAGAGGGTTTTAGAAAATAAAAAAACATCACTTCAATTAATATACATTGAAGCATCTTTCAAATTATGAAAATTATTTTTTGAAATTTAAACAGTATTTATTTGCTTATAATTCATTAATAATACTTTCAGGCAAAAAAAATGGGTTCATCGTTGAATATAATAATAAATTATTACCCGCGACTAGAACACAAAGTATCGTCATAGTTGCAGCAAATATAGCTCCAATTATTGCACCCCCATGATAATCAAAACTTATTATGGCCGTTTCGAAATTCAATGGGAGATTGTCAGGATCAATACGATAGTTCCCAAGGAAAAGGTCGATTGCATCCTAAAAATAATTATAGATGACTATTACAAATTCATGTTAAGATTACGTTTGATAATTTATCTGCTCATATAATTTTAGTTATATTATACTTCTCGAATAATGGAAAAAAAACCTGACGATATCCATCTGCAAAATTATTCCTGAAATATCGCATCATAGCATTGATTCCATCTTGCATTGTGCCAACATAGGTACGCTTTCCCATTCTAGTATAATCTGCCTTTGCAAAAATTATTTATGAGAAATTCATATTAAATGAAGTTTTTAAAAAAATGAAATCATATTTCTTAAACCTACAAAAGAAAATGATAAAATGACTACATGAAAATTTTCTAAAAATCAAAACGACAAGTAGAAAAATTTTTGAATGAATACCACTCAAAAACAAACTTCAGTAAAATGAAAAAAAGACCGTAAAAAATCGATAAAGAATACCTTCAATGCACCAGTTCCAGCATACTGTTTGCTACATTCATCACCATTATCTGCCCAAACTGCAAATATTCATTATTCTTTAAAGTAAAGAAGTGAAGTGAAGAACACAATGTGGCAAATAATTCCAAAATTTTTGAAGAGAATGCTCAGCTCTTTAATCAACAAAATTAACTATTTTAGAAGCTATTTTAATGACTTGACTGTGTTATTGTATTATTGTATTATTATAACTTATTATAACTTATAATTTATTATCTATTATTATTATGTAATGTACCATTGCTATTACATAATCTTCGAATCTACGAATCTATAAGTTTTTTTCTTAAAATTTTTTTACTTTTTCAATTAGCTTTTAATTTCTCTTTTTTTGAATTCAATTATCTCTTTTCTCTGTCTTTGACAGGAGTAAACCTGTCATGATGTCAAAATTCCGGGTGGATGCTGGAGACCCATCTGTATCTCTATCCCCAAGTGACTCCAAAGTGAAGAGGTTAGGTAAATAAAACGAAAGTCTTTTCGTCTTATATGCAAGAAGCTGATAAAATGTTTCTTTTTATAAATTCGTTGCCGATTGAGGAAGTATTCGATTTTAAATACCTTGGGTCTAATCTAATACCAAATGGCCAGGCAAAAGAAATTGTAATCCGGATAACGACAGCTTGAAATATGTTTTTCCGGTTGATGAAATCTTTATGGAACCGTTGCAAAATCACCATAAGGATTCGCGTCCATATTGCTGCAACTCCCTTGATCTTGTTACAGCGAAACTATGGCCAATAAGAGTGGAAGATCTTTGACCACTCATGCCCAAGATTTTAAAGAACCATCAAGCAGATAAAATAGCACATGATTGCATCCATTTTTGCTCAAATACCATTTATATTAATGATGTTATCACAGAGGGTCGCCTTCGTTGTTTAGGGCACATTCTCCATCGTCCACCACAGGAGTTAACGTATATTTCGCTATTTGCCAAACTCTGTGATATTTGGCGTCAAAAGCAATCAAGACCTGATATAGTAAGAAAAGAGTACTTTGTACTTTTTTGTAGTACTTTATTTTCAAGTTTTTTTTTTCTCACCTAAAGATCCTAAAGATTTATTTCATGCGATTTAATAGAGAACCAATATAAAGAGTTACCATTCACCAGATATTTACGTATAACGTGTAAATGGATTGCAATCGGATTTCTTATATTTCAATTAAATATTAGTTTAAATTAGTTTAAATATTTTGAACATATAGGGGGAAGCAACGATATATGGACTCAGACGATGGAAAAAGGAATAGCTATTCTTGTATCCTATTCTTGTATCCAGCGTAGCCTGCCTAACCAGTAATGGTGACAGCTGTTACAAGATTTTTTTTCTACCACTAATATTAGAAAAATAATATTACTGATTGAATGGAATAAACAGAATATCAATATAAAGCAGAAACAAATCGAATAGTAACTACCCGTGCAAATGCCAAAACTTAAACGATTTTTTCAGATTTGATTCAGATCTGAAGAACGGCAAATGAAGAAAATTATGCAAAATCTATGAAGCAATATTTAAAATAAATACCATTCTTGATAATACTATTAAGTTCAGAATAATCATCAATTGACAATGCACCATTTAGAATTTTTAAATAAGTTAGTTGGTCTTTTAATGATTCCTAAAAGAAGTTCGACTGTTTACTATATAAGAAAGAAATTCAAAAATAAGAAAATAAGAGCAATAAAACAAAACTAATAGCTAATATTATAATCAAAATTATGCTAATCATTAAACGAATTTGAGAAACATTAAATTAAAATAATATAATAATAATAAATTAAAATAATAAATTAAAATAATAAAATAATATAAAAGAAAAGATAAAATTTTTATTATGCATTCAGTTGATTCAACCTGCGTGACACTTATAATTTAAAGAAATCTGAAATAAAAGAAAACCAAAAAGAACCTTCGCCAACATAGCTTGTACGACATTTGTTCTATCCAAGCAATCGAGACAATTTGTTCTGAAGAAACCAAGTTGACGCTTTGTATTTTCCGGCTCCGAAAGCGTCGAAATAAAAAAACTGAAAAATATTTAATAACAACTAATATCGAACCAAAAAAAACCCTCAAATATCAAAGAAATTAGATTAAATTAAATTGCATATAGAAATTCCAAATACGTACCCAAAATGGGTTAATTCATCTCGCAACTGATTTTTCAAAATCGATAAGCGTTCCCAATTCATCTGATTACACTCTTTGTGGAAATCAAAAGGATTATACCTGTAAAAAACTAATTTTCCATCAAATTTTAGTTTAAGGTAATTGAAATTTTATGAAAAAACTAAAATAAACCTGACAAAATCAAGATTTGCTCGTAATACGACTCGTTCTAATTCTCCACCCAGCCTTCTTTCACGTCCTTGTTGATTTATAAGATTTACGATAATCTAAAAGGGATTTCCAGGACTACAACATGAATACTAAAAAGTAATGGTTTCATCTTTGTAATGGTATAACTTCTGGAACGAAGTAAGTTAACAAAGTAATAAATAAATAGTAAATAAATAAATAAGTAAAAAGTAATCTTATTTTATCAAAAAGTGTACCAACGATTTGAAATATTCAGTCCCAAACTACTGAAATCTAGTTTATTTGTACAATTTATTTAAACCATTCTTTGTTATTTAGTAAATTATTAGACTTTTTTTATAGCTCATTAGTAATTAAGTGATTAAATTAATTATTATTACAAAAAAACAAAATGAAAATATCAATTAATATCAAAAAACCTACATGCTTACCACCATACAGAGCTTGTTGCGTTTTCATATGTTCGATATACGCACTTAATTGATCATCGGCTGGTTTAATTATTGGATCGGGTTGCCAACGAAGATTTGGCTTCTGTGACCAGAACAGCGGTATAGAACCACGAGTCTGATATTGTTTTATACATATACATATATTTGGAACAAATATTTTTTGTTTCTATATGGTCTTATTTCTTATTTATAATAAAAGGCTATGGAAAGTAGAAATAGAAAAAGAAAACCACAAACCTGAACGAATGAGCATAAATGTTGCCGTCTCGAGTCACCATCTTTGTCATATTCAATAATTTGCTCAGTTTCGACAAAATTGGCTGAATGGCCATTTGACGACACACCACGAACATGATATCTCATTCCAGCTCTAAATTTTGGTTGAATTGATAAAATTCAAATTGAAAGAATAAATAAAAAACAATTTCAAAACCAATTTATTTTTTCCAGGAGTGCTTACTACTTTTGGTCAAGTTCTTCACTTTTATCCAGCCAAATAAATTTTGTCAAGAAATAACGACAGAAATATATATTTGACATCAGCTCCATTCGAGCTTTTGGAAAACAACTTTACTAATGCCGAGAGAATCCCAGTATCAAAGAACTCTATTCGAAACTCAAGACCAATGCAAACATTTTTTTCCCCATGTTGCAATTTATGAAGCATTTATATGAAGATGAACGGTGTTAAAGGAGTTTAAAGGAGGAGTAAGAAGGAGGAGAAAAAGTATTTATATGAAGATGAACGGTGTTAAAGGAGTTTAAAAATAATAATTGCCTTAATAATAATTTTTTTACAAAATTAATTTAAAAAATTTTTCTTTAGATTTTTTTCATATCATTTCTTCATTTCAATTAATTTCGCTTTCAGATTGTTGCGCTATCATTTGAATCCGATTCGTATTTCTTAAAGTAGTGAAAAAGGGGAATTTAGAATTTTAAAACATTATTAGCAAAGGTATGACACGGATACTAAAGGATTATTCAATAGTATTTAGTTTGTAGAGACTTTTCATAAAATGTGGCGAGAGAGGGATATCAAAGAGTTTCAGTATTAAAAGAAAAAATTAGAATTAAAATTAAAAAAAAGATTTCAAAAGATCTCACTTCCTAAGATTATGATCATTTTTTGTTCCATATATATATATATATATATATACAGCACCTCTATAGACGAAAATTTTATAGATGTGGAAAAAATAGGAATTATAGGGAGAAATAGGAAAAAGAAAATATATTTATATTTTATGTATTATTTATATTAACCGTAAAGATTAAAAACTTTTGAAGCTTTCATCGTGAAATGCAAAATATATTATATAATGCAAAATATTTATGAAAATTCGATTCATGAAGCAACCAATAAAAAACCTGTATATAGATCGACGAGATATAAGAATTAAATTGAAGATATTCTGACCAATAATACAACGACGTGTCGCGAAGAAGCCATGAATAAGTGGAGGCACATATCGATATGCACCGGGAACATGCGATAATGGATCAGCCAAATAACGATTCCAAACAAAACGTTCATCGGACTATAAATATGGCATAAAAAATAAACATTTATTATTACGTTATATTTTTTTATTATTTTATAAAAATCACCACACGTTAATTTTTGTACTATTATTAGTGTGAAATCAACTAACTCTTTCAATCATGGGTCTTGCCCTAAATGTTGGTGTAGCATTATCAGCCAACCACTGTAACGTATGAGAGAGATCAAATGAATGGGAAAAATAAAAACCACCAGTAGACAAAACCAAATGAATCATATCCGTAAAATGCTTATTGTACCATTTCTAAAAAATATAAAAGAAAATTAACTTTTAAAAAAAGGGAATAATTTCTTTTTTGAAAGAAATAATAACAATAATTTTTAATACATTTATAAGTTTGCGTAAATATCAAGCATTCTGAAATAATAATAATAAATGAAAAAATTGAAAATACTTAAAATTCTATTAAAAACAAACTCTTAGCATAGCAAACAAATAAACAAACAAGCAAAAGCAAAGCAACGAAAATTACTTATATAACAAATCTAGCGAAAACTACTCATATCAAAAAGTGTGAACATCGCCTTACGTGTTTTGCTAACAGTCTATTTACTATATTTAACTATATTTTACTAACCATAACATATCAAATAATCCTTTTATTAAATGCAGTAACCTAATAAATTACGATGCAGAGAAATGTATCAACTGGACTGAATATATTTTATAAAAATTAAAACAGTTTAAGTCAGAACCAATAGGCTTTTTATGAATTGCATTTCATATCAAAATTTTTATTGATGAATTAATTTACCCACTATAATAAATTTAATGAGATTGAGATTAATGAATTTTAATGAGAATTCAAGTTAAATCAGAGAACTGTGGGATCATCTTGTTATTTAACTGTTATTAACTGTTATTTAACTGTTATTACTGTTATAAACATTCAAAATGAAAATCACTTAGTGAGATCAATTTCTCGACTTAACAAATGGAAAAAATTATATAATAATGAAAATAAAATATTATGCAAAAAACTGTGCCTAACTATGAAAAAAAATTTTAAAAAAATTCACTTGTTTTTCATTAAGATGTAAATCTGTTCGTCTGAATGGTATTATTTCAGTCTCGATTATTGTCCATACACTATGACCATTAATAGAACCAACCATAGCCGCTTTTTTTATGACAATCAATGCGAAGCATGAAAAATCAAATTTTCTTAGCTTTTTAAAAAATTTTTAAGATTTCAAAAAAATAAAACATCAAAAAGTGTTATGGTACCTGACACAATCCGAATAATTCCAATTATTCCATAGATGGTCTTCAATTCCATAAAATCTATTGCCATAGGAATATCGGAATTATCTTAAAATTGACTAATGTCAATGAAATTGAACAAGTTCAATAATTTTAATAACCAGTTTTTTTTCGTAAAAGGAAAAATAATTGGCGAAATAAAATAATAATTTGTCGAATGGCTCATAACAATTATCAAAAAGAAAAAATTTCACTATTTCAAGCTATTAAAATTTGAAACTTTTTAAAGAAATTTTATCCGAATCGCGATCAATTTCAAGGTAGGAAGAAGATACAACGCCAACATCATCGCCTTTAGGTTCAATACAAAATCTTTCGGGAAAAATATATCTGCAAAAAAATTTTATAAAGATTTCATATTTCGTACAAGTGTTGTAACGCAATTTAATAATTTTGAAACTCTGATAAATATTAAAATTTGATAAAAACATAGATAAAATTAAAAAATCGAAATTAAGATAAAACTTCTCTAGAAATGATTAAACTTCGCTAAAATTTCTTAAAAAAAGTATAAGTATAAAAGCTAGAAAATTAAAATTATAATAATTATAATATACGCCGAAATTTAATATTTAATTTAATTTAATATTTAATTTATTTAATTTAACAAAATTTAATGTAATTTCAATATATTTTAATATATATATATATAATTTAATTCTATATAATTTACAATTTTTTACGTGGCAAAAAATAATTTTTCCATTTCCAATTTATCTAAAAATTTAAAATGAATTTTTAAAAATAAAAACTAACAAATTAAAAGACGTATAAATATCAGTTGAAGAATTCATCGTTTAACGACAATTACTGAAGCGTAACAACCATTATTTAAGAATTTAGAATAAATTTTCGCAGAAAATTAGAAAATTTTCTAAAAATAACAAATATTTATATATAATTTTATACTCGTTTTAAGAAATAAAAAATTTTATTAGTGAAAAATAATAAAAGTAATTTAAAAGTGAAGCAATAGAATGGAATATATCAGCATATTTCTCCTAAACAGAACAAATAGGAAGAATGGTGAATGGCGATGTGTTTCTTCAGCTGGCATTGATAAAGGCACTGTTTTTTGTGCTGTTCGAAAAGAATCATAGTACGATTAAGTGAAAGCTGGAGAACTGCTGAGGGATGACCTTTGTCTATGTCACCAAATGACATTTTATCCAGTGGTATAAAACAACTCGGAAATATCACATGATGTTAGAAAAAGAGAAAATAAATGAATAAAAAAGGAAATAATAAAGCCGATATCAGTTGATTCTCTTTCGAATCTCAAAATATTCACAAAGTTTCATGATTTTTGCAATTAACTAAAGTACATTCCTACATCCATTTTCTTTCTTAAGGGTGCCCAATATTTTTGGTTACAACATGGTTACAGCTGAGTCACCAGGATTTCTGAAAAATCATGGGACTTCTGAAAGGCTTATTCCTACCGAGGATAGAAATCTCTCACCAATTAGGCCCAGCTAATGCCTAAATGCACCTGATCCACAACCACAGTGACGACAGCTACACTACACACTACACCTTAATTATTTAACTCACAATTACCTAGAAACTAGTTAAACGGCTGCTGCAAATTAGTGGCCCGCGCTAAATTCACAAAGAATCTGCGGCTATGGTCCATGCATAGCAAATTGCTTATTGGCGTTAATTTTTTGTGCTAAATCCATTAACCTGAAATTAAATAACCAAAAGAATACGCAAAGTATTTTATTTGTGAAGTCATCCAAAGGAGAAATCAGTTAATAAATGGTACTCCACAATTTTTCCTTTCCAATGGAAAGCCAAGAGAGGGCCGTAAAATTTAAATAAGGCCGCATATTGGTTTAGCAAATATTAGTGTTCTAAAACGATGGTTTTGATGCCATTGTTGTTGACTAGCTTGTTTATGAGCGGTTGTTAGTTGCGATCATGGATTGTGGAAATATCAAATTAGGTGGTGGGAGGTGCTTCAAGGATTAGGGGGTGGTTAAGACTAATTAGAATAGGTCAAATGTGAAAGGTCACTGTTGTTTCTTGACGGTATTCGTTGCGAAAAAAAAAAGAATTGCTAATCTTTTACCTAAATTAGTCGCAAAAATATTGTTGGAATGGCTTCTTGCCATCTATTTCTACTTTTCCTTAAAATATGGTTTCATCTATCAAATTATTTGCCTCGATTAATTTTTATTGTTTTTTATTATTTCCTAAAAAAATTTTTTTTTCATTTTCTAGTTTTCGGTAAATATTTCTTAGTATAATTTATTAAGTACTTTATATATTTTATTTTTTATATATTTAATTAAATATACGTAATTAAAAAAATAAATATTTAATAATATTTAATAGTGAATATTTTAGGTAAAAAATGGCGGAGGCTTGTGAAATTCCGACTGGAAGTTATACTTTAAAATTAGGTTCGACTTTTAGTATTCACGCTAATGACACGTCTTATCACACTCTTAGATGTAAGTTATATATTTTTTTTTCGCCTAGGGGCTCAAAAATTTAAAACTTTTCTTTTATTTTAATTGTCACCATTATTTTTATCTTGGTTAGTTCTATGAATTGCTAGCATTTTATTTTATTGAACCACTCTTTGGGATAAAATTATAGATGAGTACCTAGCTTCTTTATTGATAGGTTTATTCCATTTTAAAGGTCCTAAATCACTCTTCGTTTTATGATTCAATCGCCATGTTCTCAAAGCCTGAATATGAGGAAATTGATTTCACTTTTATTTTAAAAAAACTAAGTTAATGAAGAAATATCTGTTGTAATGGTCACAATAACCTTAATCGACTTTGTCCGAATGTCAAGGAGAAATTTCTAATCAATATATTTGATAAGACTATCAGATTAAATTCTAATATTTAATTGTTTAAAATATTTTTAGTTGATTTCAAGCCAAAATCCTTGGCATGTGAAAAAGATACATATATTGGTTTCGGTGGTGGTGGCGATGTGCAGGTATGAAGAATTTTATATTCGCATTAAATTAGGCTTATTCCTCTTCGTCAGTCTCTAGTTTGAATCGCTGCTATTCTATATCAGGAAAATATAGTCCCTATGGGTCTTTAGCACTGTCCGGACGTTACATGCGAAGAGAATCGATTCCATGATGCTTGAATATAATCGAGGCAGCTTGTTAATATCTTATCCTATCCCTATTTATTTACTTAAATTCGGCTTTTTTATTATTTCAGTTATTGTTTCAATAATTAACATTTTTCATTATTTTTAGAATTTTGTTTATGATTTCTCAATTTTTATATGAATAATCGCTATTGTTAAGATTTTCAGTTAATTTTTTTTCTCTTTGAGATTGCTGTACATAATAATGATGACGATTCGCTAACGATCTATAAAGGATCTCAAAAACCGGTCAAAGCCTTTAAAGAATGTTTACTATTTTTCGATCATACAAGTGGTGAATTTCGGCTTGAAAAACTTTCTACTGTTATTTCGGTGAAAAAAACTCGGTGCTTGTTTTTCACTTGTCCTTTTGGTTTGCACTAAAATATTTGTTAAGTGGTAAATCAACATCAAAACGAAAGATCCCATCTGTCTTGCTCGTAATCCTGTATGATACATGGCCCATGAAAGTTGCTCTCCAAGCAAATATCATTCATGAATGTAATCTGCCTTAATCAGATCGTCATAGAACGACATCTCATTAGGCCCTGTTTCTTTGTCATTCGCCATGGAAATTGAGGCATCTCGTAAGTCTTTTGATGTGCAGTGCGACAAATACGACGATTTGGAGTTATTTCGAAAATTCAAGGACCGGATGATATATGGTTAGGCTGACAAAAGAGGCCCATAGCTTCCACTTCTTTAAATTATTGTATATATCTTAAATATATCTTCCTAAGCATATCTCAAAGCAATCTAATCAATAAAGGTGTCGTTACTGAAAGTTAAAAAGAAGGATTTCATGTTATTAATTTTTTTCAGAGATACGGGTGAATCCGACGTATCACAACTTCGCGTGGAAATCGATAAATTACGACAAAAGAATGAATTGTCCACAGCTATGAATGGTAAAAGCATTACGAACTCATCGAAGGTTTTTTTTTCGATTTTCAATAATTTTTGCTATGCTAAATGCATAAATTAAAAATGAAATCATATTTTTTTTCAATTTTCATATATATGAAATTCTTCAGCGATCAAGAAGTTCTTCATCTTCTTCTTCATCTTCTAGTAATAGTGAATCGGAGGATTCTGATGAATCGTCTGCTAGGATATTAAATAATAGGGTGGCAACTGACAGTTCTCCTTCAAGTAGCGATGGAGGAAGTAGCGGGAAATCGAGTGGAGATGACGATGATGATGATGATGACGATGATGATGCTTTGGAGAGTTGGTTTTAATTTACTTATCCTTTTATTAAGGAGAAGGATCACTGCGATGGGAATTGAGTTTTGCATAAAGTTTGTTAGCTCTTGAACCTGGAATAAACTGACTAATATTTTTAAAAAATTCTTGAAAATTTATTGATTTTTTTTCGAAAATATTTCCCAATTTCCCAATTTCTCAATAGTAATTTTAATCTTTAATATTTCCAGTTAAATAATTTAATTTTTCAGCTGCCTTAGAACAATTGAATAATAACCATTTTATGGATGCTGTGGAGAATTCATCAAAAAATGATGCATCGTCTATTTTAAATCATCAAAATAATTCAAAGAAAATTCTTCATGACGATTTACATTTGAGCGAAAGTTCCGATGAAGATTGATTTGCTTTCTTATTGTTTGTGATTTATTGGGTATTCGGGATATTATTATTTATTTTAGGATTTTAATCATTTTTAGCGATTAAGAAAGGTGAAGTCAAAAGCTTAGCTTTTCTACGCTATAGTTATAGTTATGTATTGAATTATATTTTATTTATCGGTGGTGAAATTCTTGCCGATTTTGTTTTTTTCATCGGTTTTAACTTAACAAATATGTTATGGTAAATATATTGAAAAAAAAATCAATGTCTTTCTGATTTCTTTTACCATAATTTATAAAATATAAGTGGAACATCAGTTGGTAATTATTTTATATCATATGATATTTTTTTTATTAGTTCATATTATTTATTATTATTGTTGGGATTCACATTGTTATCACTTTCTATTAAGTTATCCAATAAATGGAAGTTTAAAGAAATATAGCTGTTAGCTTCGATATTATTCATAAAATTTTCGATTTAAAATAATTTTCGATTTAAAATAAAAATAAGAAAGTAAGAAAGAAATAAAGTAAATATTTATTGCTTTACAACAATCTACAATATTAATTTACATATGTGAACAATAATAAGCAAATGTAATGGTTGAATTTTTGGTTTTTCGAATTTATACAAAATTGCTTCCTTAATTCATTCAAATTATAATTTGATGTTATTTAATACGAATTATAATCATTGTAAAATTTTAGGATTTTAAGACTGATCGTCGACTAATTTCAACGTTCGCGTTCGTCGAACTAAAATATAATTTATTTGATTTAAATATTATAAATATGTGAATTAAATTACTGGAAATGATTATCAGAGATATGATAACGTGAATAACTGACGTGATTTTCGATTGAATTGGCGAGCACGTCTTCTATGATCGCGTGGTTCACTTTGTACAGTTGCGGCTTTTACAAGACCATCAAGAATCTCATCGTCAGGTGAATCTGCACCCGGACTAGTTGAATTTGTTTGTCCAACCGAGCGAAGCACTATAAATTATTTTAAAAAAAAAAAACCTAAGGAATTTTATTATAAATTTTTTTTATTGTAGAATTTTTATTATAAATTATTTTTATTTTCATAATTTTCAAGAAAGAATCGAGGATTTTTTTTTTTGCCCAGCCTTTTTTAAATTAGAAAAAAATTTAATTAAATTAAATTTAATAAAATTTAGTTTAAATAAACAAACTTTCTCGTTGTGCGGCAATAAAATTTGGAGATGATGTTCGATCCGGAGTTGGACGTCCTCGATTCCTTTTTAATGTATCCTCACCGCCGGCAAGCATTCGCGACATCATCTCGTGCCTCTAGAAATAACAATAAATGATAAGAAATTGATAAGAAATAATAATAGTTGATAAATTTATTTAATAATAGTTGATTATTTTAATAAAATTTGTTTATTTTGATTGATAATTAATTGATAATTATTTGTATTTGTGGACATTTAACGAATCCAAATGGATAAAATTAGTTCAATTAAATTTATTTTTATTTAAATTTATTAAATTATTATTAAATTTATTTATTATTACTTCTTCAGCATTCATTTGAACTGGTTGCCGTCTTCTTGTTGGCGTTGGTTCACCTTCTTTAACTTCTTGACCATCCAATGCCCATATTTTACCACGAGTTTTATTTCGTTCACGTTTATCAGCTAATCGTTTACGTTGTTGAAGTATTTTATCCCTAGTCGTACGATATTCAAGTGCAAATTCAATAACCATTTTCAGCACCCGAGTTGGTTTTAATGTAGGCACTTCTTGAATACTGTATCCGAAGAAAAGCAAAAATGCATGCCACCTACGAATTTTAGTTGATTATTAATTTAATAATTTTTTTTAAAGAGTCCTCACCATTACTGGTTAAACTCGCCCCACTGGCTTGTCATATTGGGCACTATACCAGGAAGTCCCTTAGAGATAGAAATACAGATGAGTCGCCGGCATCATCTGGATTTTTATACATGTTTAGTCCTGCGGGGAATCGAATCTCAGCGTTCCCAATTGAGCAACAACCCACTGAGCCATTCTATCCCCAATTCAGTCATTACTTTAAGCTAATTGATCTCACATCTCACTGGGAAATATTATTTATGGAATAAAATGGTTCAACATAAATTGCTTATTTCCGAGCACTAATAATTCTCTTTCACACTAATGAAACAAAAATCCGAATAATGCCGTTGACCCACTTGTATTTCAAATCGCTACCGCTTAAATGTTCAATGACTCTCTGGCAAAATTTTTCGGGTCCAGTGGAGCAAACCTTATCAATGGAGCAAATAATGAGTACTCTTGAAAAAAAAAAAAAAGGATAATACTATTGAAGTAGAAAAATAAATCGCTTTACCTATTAAATGCTATCCTATAAATAGTTTTAAGTTGATGTATTCGTTGAGCAACATCGGTTAAATAATCATTTATTTTCTGCCTCATCGTTGATGAGCTATCATTTTTACTGATTTTTGCCAAATATTCCCAAGAAGCCTTACAATCTTGTTCCATTTTCTCCAAATTTGCTATTAGCTCATCGTAATCAACCTAAATGTTGACCACGATATGTATATAGGAACATATATCATTAATAAACAGTTGATATTTAATCAGCTGAATTAATACTTACTCGTGCACTCCTCGCTACAGCTCCAAATTCCGAATATAAGTCGGTACCATCAGGACAATGTTCAATCATATATTCGGCCAAGTGATATGTTAAAGTATGCTTATAAACTGGATCTTTTACTTCAGATGCTTTAGATATATAATCCAATTGGAATCCTCTTATCTATAAATTTTTTAAAGCAGGTTGATTGAAAGAAAAGAATTTGTGTTGAAAAATTTGTCATGGTCCTTATCATAGCCATAAAAATACTGCCATAAAAAATAATAAAGTGCTGATAATGATATTAAAAGAGATTAGAATTCTAAGAAAAGATTATAAATATATACATTTGTGCCATTCAAAGTATTTCCAATAATTAGTAACATTGCCATAGCGGTACGAAAAGTTTTTGATTCCTCGATTTCTTTCATTGCTAATTGTAAATCCATTAGAGGTTCAGCTATATCCTAAAGTTACATTGAGGACTAAGTTAAGATCAAAAAAATTATATTCTAATATGTATAAGAAGAAATTATCAAATTATTAGACGAAAAAAATTCTAGCTTCTAATTTGCCATTTAAATGCTGATAAATTCTGAAAAGTATTGATAAGGTGATAAAAGCAAATGAAAGCAAATGAATAAAAATAAATTCGATTTTAAATAAATTACTTTACCTTTTCACAGTTTTTATAATCGAGTGTAAAAGCCCAAAGTTTGAGTCGTTCGAGGAGACAAGGTATTTGCGATAATTTTAATAAAAATTGCTCAGCCTGGCCTAATATCATATCCGGATTTTCAGCAACTTTCATTTCAATAGCTTCAATTTCCGCTGCACTTGGCATCATTGTTGTTAAAATTTTTTCAATACCTTCTTTATTCAATACGAGTGAATCAAATTTCTATTAAAAAAAAAAATATTTTAAATTCTTTTAAAAATAATTTTTATTTTCGTAATTTATGTGAGAAAAAAGAAAAAAAAAGTACCATTATAGCGGTTGGAATAACAGTGATAGGCGGTAATTTCGTAAGGCCAATATTAATCGCTTGCGATCGTTTAAGGGAAAGTACTTGCAAAATTTGAGATTTTTGTTCACCGTTCAATTTCTAAAAATAAAAAAAAAATTATGAAGGAAGCAAGAGGAAAAGAAGAATAGGAAAGGAGAAAAATAAATATAAAATAAAAGATATGAAAATTAAGGATTCGAGTTTTCCTTTTTTGAAGTTCACCAATGATAGTTACGCTCATTTAGCTAGTTTATTAGACCAGACAAATTTTGCTAAATAATCATTTGGCTAATGGCTCGCACAACGGGGAATTTGGAAAGACAGGTATCATCCTGCATGAGTAGAATATTTAGCATTGCAACATTGAAATGGGAATAACCTATTGAATCATTATGAACCTTCTCCTTTCAATAGTAATCATTTTTTCTGACTTTTTTTAGCTGCATCGAGTGCTATGTATCTATGATCAAACTTGTTAGGCTGGAATAAAATTGGAAGTAAGAGCACTTCTCGAACTTCATTTTTTTAGCGACAAATCAATGTCTCGCCAAAGAACCATGGACGAAACCATGATGCTTGAACTCAACAGAAGCTATCAAATTTGTCATCCTAACGCATATGGCAAAAAAAATGCTCAAGCATAATATGAGCCAAGAGTATGAATAAAATAGACCTTTGGTTGGATTTCTTTCGTTTTTTGTTCAAATAATTGTGCTAATTTTTTCGTGTCGATTTGTGGCAAATCAATTTGATGCCAAAATGTTCCTTTATTTTTTAAAGAAGGCACAGGAGGAGGTTCATCTTGAGCAGGCTTCCAGTGAAGTTTTAAGGTACTTGTTTTCGATTGTGGTGCTGCAAATATTTGAAGCACAAATAAATGGATTATTTTTAAGATGGCAATAATAATAAAGCATTAGAAATTTACCTGGGCTTGAATCTCGATTAGGCTTAGCGCCTAGAAAAGGTGGTGGTGGAGGCGCGCCAGAGCCGGGTAAAGGTGGAGGTGCAGGAGGGCCACCACCTGGTAATAGTGGTGGAGCAGGTGGGACATTGCCTCCAACAGATGAAGCTGTAATATAAAAACATCAATTACTTGTATTTATGGGAAAATAATCTGTTATTATGATCATACAAAATATACTGAGCTAAAACGATGAAAAATTGGCATGTAAAACCATTTAACAAAAATATGGATCAGTAAAATAGAAGCCTGCAAATACGGGCTAGTACCAACAGGCTATTAATAATTCCGTTTACTGAACTAGTTTTTAGTTTGTTCTTCTTTTTTATCTGGAAAAAAATATTACATACATTTTAAAGCCGATCCTGACATCGGCAAAAGACCTTTTTCCTGAGCTATCATTGCCAATCTTGCCATGACAAGTGGATCTTGTTCAAATTCATCCTTATGAAATTCCGAAAAATCCAGATCATTTATGATTAGTGGCTTCGATTTGAAGCTTTCAGCAGCCTGTAGCAATTTATCGTTTTATAATTTCTTTTTCCATTACTAGTCTTTCAATTTTTTCGTGGCATTTTTGGTACGATTTTCTTTCTAGGATATTTTTTGTCTTACTACTCAGTCTCACTTAATCTGTATAAATATTTGTATATTTTATTTTACTAATTATTGCTAATTATTAAATTGCCTTTTTTTTCAAGTTCTCACCATTACTGGTTAGACTCGCTCCACTGGCTTGTCGCACTAGACAAACCAGGGAGTTACTTGGCGATATTAGAAGAACAGGTGAATCGCCAGCATCATCCGAACTTTTAGACAGGTTTACTCCTGGCGGGGAGTAGAATTTCAGCGCTCCGAGTTGAGCAATAACCAACTGAGCCATTCTACTCCTTAGTTGTTATACCGTTTCTATAAAATTTTGAAATGAAAGCGGTTAAGCCTAAGCCTAAGGTTAATAAGATGGTTAAAGAATCGTTAATTTTAAAAAATATCTAATATATTTTTAAATTTACTTTTTTCCACTGAATTTCTGCTTCACTTTGCTTTGGCTCATAAGATGCAGCATTTTGTTCACGTTTTGCAGCACGTCTCCTAAGTTGTGCTGCAAACGCACTTCCACCACCGCCATCATCTTCCTCATCATCTATCACCTGAAATTGCATTATAAAAAAAAACTTTTAGAATGTAATCTCGCTCCGCTGGCTTGTCGCACTAGACAAATATGCCAATCTCTTGGAGATAGAAATACAGACGAGTCGCATATATCGCCCGGATTTTTGGATAGATTTACTCCTGTGGAGAATAGAACCTCAGTATCGGCGCTCCGAATTGAGCAACAACCCACTAAGCCATTCTATCCCCAATCAAATGCCTAATTGTATTCGCATTCTTATGAAAGATTTCACATAAATGAGAAATATAAAGAAAATTTTAAACCTTTGCTTTTGTAACAGGTTTACGTGGAGCTTCTTGCGGCTGTGGCTCCTGTTTTACTTCAGGGAACTCCATTTTTTTATTTTCTGTTGGAGAAAACAGTGTTGTTGGAAATGAAGGAGGTGGTGCACGAACCTAAACATTCATAGAGTATATATATATATATATATCAGGCAAAAGGAAAGGCTACAAAAGCAAGAAAGAAAAAAAGGATCAAATGAAAAACTAGCCTTAATGTTCTATCTAAGACTAGGTGGAAGTATAATTTTTCAGGAAATGATCGAAAAAATATCCTTTCACCTATTTTAAAATATCGTCTGCGGTTGAAAATATAGAAAAATAGAAAAATAGAAAAAAGGTATCTAAAAAAAATTTACGGGTTTTTCAGGTTCAACATTTTCATTATTCTCATTCACATCATCATTCACCATTTTAATACGCTTTGGTGTATTTGAATTTGCAGTATCAATAGCACTTTCAATCGGTTTTATTTTTTGTACCTGAAAATTTAATCTAATAGTTGAAAAAAACGAAGGTTTTATGTGGAACTATAAATTTTGAAATGTAATTTTTCTATACATTCTTCGCATTTTCGAATTATGGTGCCATTTGGTATAGGAGGTGCCAAGTGAAATGGAAAACTAATGCACCTTAACCATGATCTAATCAAAAAAACTATAGCATCCAAGATTAACTAAATAATTTTTAATTTCAGTCTCAAAAAATCTTACAAATAATCATTACAGTGATTTCTTTACCTCAGGCTCAGCAGCAACTTCGTTCGTTTTCTTCCTCCAAGGTGGAACGATTTTTTGCTCTTCAATATTGTTGTTTAAAGAACTACAAATTTTTAATATGTATTCTTATTTTTGCCAATTCCTTATCTAATAAAGATTAATCAAAAATAATAAAGTGAAAAGATTAGAAGCACTAAAATGAGGAGAATTCTAGAATTCTTGTAAGGATTTCGTCAAATATGTAAATTTTACAATTAATCAATTTTAATTCAACAAGCAGTATTTTTTCAGTAAAAAAAATCATTGATTAAGACTTCTATAGCTTCAAATAAAAAAAAAAAGACAATAAAAAATACTAATAATCATAAGAGATAAAAGATAAGATAAGAGATTATATGATCATATCAAGTAATAAATGATAAAATTTTTTTAAAAAAATTATACGTTTCAGTCTTGTTAGCATTAATATTAAGTGCATGATTCTTATGAAAATTTTGATGTTCTTGCTGACGAATAAGCGATTCTTGATGGCGTCGTCGAATAAATGCTCGTCGGTCGTTAGAATAATTTGATATAACTGGCTGATTCCTGAAAATCTATAGTGATGAGCAAAAAATAAGCGATAGATACGACTAAGATTAATCAAATATATAAAATTTATGCCAATGTGAAACTTCGAAATTCAAACGACTGATGTCATCTTCATCAGTGATCAATATTATCAGCTGATATGTATATTTATATATATAAATTTATGATGAACATTTATTAGAAAATAGAAAAAAAAATAGAAAATAATTTGTTCTATGTTCAGAAGTATCAAAGTACCATATAATATTTAGGTGATATTAGTTTATCATTGATAACTATTATTAATTCGTATCATTCGCATTAAGATTATTTCATTTATGTTTAAAGGAAGATTTAAGCGAAGATTAGTTAATTTTCTCTAGGAGAATTTTTGATAAGAAATTTCCAACCTCATTTTTACAATACTGGAATCATCATTACTATCAGCTTCATCCTCCAATTTCAATACTCTCTCATATAATTTACATTGATCCATTAATTCTTTATTACCCAAACTCATCATTTTTTTCATGGCATCTTCTAAGCCTTGCGATTCCAATGCATCGACTATATCATAATAAGTGTCCTGCAATCCAGAAAAAAGAAAATACTGTAATAGAAATCTGACAATTTGGTTTTCCAGGTTTTTCAATTAATTTCAATTATAAAACCTTAATTATCATAACATTTTTCCAATAGATTTTATATTTTGTACAGCGATTTTCAGGTGAATATGGTGAAGTGTCAATTTTTGAGAAAATTTTAAGAAAACCAAACCATAAATGATAAAAATATTTCATAGTAGCGAAGTAATAAAAGCCATTTTATTTAGACAATATTATTAATAATATAGGGCAAATTTACTATAGAAAGACGAAACAAAGAATGGTCAAACTCGAAAGCATAAAACTAATAAATGGGAAGTAAAGAAGGAGAGAAATAATCTATTAGCTTCCATATGATCATTAAAAAATCTGAATGGTATTCAAGAACCAGCGGTGCGTCTATCACCAAATATAAAAAACCTCGCAAAATTTCTAATTGTACTAGCAGCTCAATGGAACTATTCTAACCAAAAATGATTAGCTTTATCATTAAGAATCAAAAATATACTTAAAAAATAATAATTAATTATTAACGATTTATAAAATAAATAGATATTTAATTATAAATCTTATTCAAATCGATGAATGTATTCATTAATTTAATTCAATAATAATAATATTGCAAAAAGTTTTATTCGTTTAATGATGGATTATATTCCCAAACTTCTTATCAAAAAAAAAAATGCAAAAGGATTAAAAAGGACGAAAATGAAATACATAGAAACTAAACTACAGTAATTGTTGCACAGAGTAAAAAAAAGGAATTCACAGTATTCTTTAAATAACCCTTTCAAGTAGAGAATAGAATGGCTCAATAGGCTGTTGGTCAATTCGAAGCATCGCTTCTGAGGTTCTATTCCCAGCAGGAGTAAATTCCTGGAAAATCCTAGCGATTCACCTGTACTTCTATCGCCAAAAGAGCGCTACAAGCCAGTTGAGCGAGTCTTAGCAGTAATGGTGAGGTCTCTTTAAAAAAAATTCTTTCTAGCATATTTCGATCATAAGGAAACATGAAACAATAAGATTTTTTGGCGCAAAACGCAAATCTAGGAAGAGAAAACTGATTTTTATATCAAAAACTGATAATATATTTATCAGCAATTCCCTAAATTAGATCATTAGATCATTAGATCATTGATTCGCATAAATTTTAACAAGAGTACAAAAAAAAACAAAATTGATAGAATATAAAAAATTTAAAAGTTAGCCAAGCCAAGAATTAAGAAAGTTAAGTCAGCCAAGAAGCCAAGAACGAAAGATTTATGTTATGTTATGAGATGTGAATGAGAAATTGATTGCTGCTTTTTCAGAGAAAATTTTCGCATAAAATTTTATAAATAAAACTTAATTGTAGTGAAATTTTTTAATTAAATAAATAAATAAATAAAATTAAATAAAATTATATCAATAATTAAATAAAAAAGATGGAAAATTCGATAGCGATTTTTGCATGATATTTTTATGACAAAAAGAGATTAAATTTTTTTACATAAATGGATAATACTTTATAGGACAATATTTAAAACCATAATTGCAACACTGGAGAGTAGAATGGTTCAGTGGGTTGTTGTCCAATTCGGAGCGTTTTGTTCCCCGCAGGAGTAAATCAGTACAAAAAAAAAAAGGAATGATGCTGACGATCCACTTTTATTTCCATCGCCAAGGCATTCTCTGGCACATTTGTCCAGCATATTTGAGCCAGCGGAGCGACTTTAACCAGTAAGGATGAGAGGACTCTTTAAAAGAAATTGCGAATGCAACACTAATACTAATTCAAAATTGATTCACACGAATTTGTGGTAGGCAATATTGAATGGAATTTCGTATTACAATATTTTTTAAAAAAAGAATATATTTATATATTCTTTAAGAAATGTTGAAAAATGGCAGTTAAAATAATTCTTGTGGAATTTATTTAATAATTTCATTAGTACTATTGCTAATACTTTTCGCTTTCGATAATATTTTTACTAAACCAATATTATGATAAATTGTGCTTAGTGATAAGATGAATGTCACCGAAAATAAAGAACTATGCTTTGTCGAACGATATTGTCGCTGAACGGTGAAAGCGAAAGAGATTGGAACTGCTCAGTTTCGAGCGTCAATGCTAAAATCCTACAACTGGCAAGAATAAACCTGTCCTTCAAGAATCCGGCCGATCCTGGTGACTCACCTATATTTCTATAGCTAAGCGATTCCCTGGTCTGCATGGTTCGACAAGCGAACGAAATAAGCCTAACCAGCAATTCTTTGAAGAAAAAAAAGTCATGATAAGTTTATTACTCGTAATTGTGATTATAATCTAAAAATATTCATTAGAAAAAATAATTTTGATTATATTATTTTAAACTAAAAAAACGGTAATATTATAAATGGTGATAAATTATTACATGTTTTATCGCTATCTCATTCAATTTATCACCTTTATCACCTACTAATCTACTAAAAAGATTCATAATAAAAAAATAAACCTGATCAGAGATTCCATTTAATGTTTTATTGATAACAGTCATGCCATAAGTTAACATTTCTACATCGCTCGCTTCATTTTCGTTTAAAACTTTCATTAAACCAAACCAATCAGGCCGATCTAAAAATTTAATTAATTCAAAATAAATATTTATACTTTTTATTTGATCGAATTAGGGAAGTGGGGAGGGGAATATAAGAGGAGGGGAAAATGATTAAGAATATTGGATTGCTGAGAGGCAAAAGTTTCGTTTCTGATAGGAATTTGAGAAAATCGAGAATAAATTTGAGTAAAATAATCGAGAAATTTTAGAAAATCGAAGAATTATTGAATTTATTATTTCCATAATATATCCATGCATTTCATGTTTTTAGTTGAGAAAAAAAAAATTATCCAACTAAAAACATGAAATATGAAACTTACTATAAATTTTATCGACATTAGCAACGGCGCTCATCAATAATAAAGCATTATTGTCAGTATATTCGATAAAAACCAATAATAATTTTAATGTTGTTTTCACTACCAATCGATACTAAAAAAGTATTTTAACTATAAAAAAATAAAATTTTTTTAAAAAAAAAGAGAAAAAAATAAAAATTCGAAGCATTCTTTTTATTCATTATACTAGTTTTCATGAATAAAATTTACATAATAATAATGAATGGCATCGTTCCACTAATTTATATTCCATGAATTATATTCTGAAAAGTAAAGAGAAAAGTTTAACTCAAGCGATATCGCAATTATAAGGTTATCTATTATTAGGATTTAATATAAACTTATATACTACAATATTTTTCACATTCACATTAGAAATGCCCAACTTAATAACCAAACAGTCTAGTACCAAGAAATTTAAGTCGTTCAAAAAAACAATGATAAGAAAACAAAGAAGAATGGAATGGCTCAGGGGATGATTAAGTAAGGAAGAAAATATTAAAAAAAAATAAAAATGTTTCTAAAAAATGGGGAGCTGATAAAATAAAATTTATTATAAACAAAATGCAAAAAAGGCAATTATAAACCATGAACGATATTTATCAAAACTAAAACTGATATGATATTTATCAAAATAAATTTTATCAGTAATTACCAAAAATTTAAAGATAAGAAGAGCTATTATCATCATTCTAACCGATGCATTTTATTTACTTTATAAGTAAGTTAAAAGATGTATCAACATTTAGGTCCGCTCCACTTTATATGATGAGAAATGAAATGATATGATAGAAGTAAAGATGCTTGCCTATAAGAAATAAAAAAGAGCATAAAAAGTAAAACTTATAAATTTAATTTCAACAAAATCTTGTCGTTTAGTGATAAAAATAGCAATTATTCTTAGTGGCTATCGCGAATCAAGGCTTCGGTTCGAATCCTAGACACACCATGTATCATCGGGCGGTCGTATCACCTAACGGGAAAAGCAAAGAAGAGTAGAATGACTAAGGGTATCATTGATCAGTTCGGAGCGCAGATGCTGGGTATTCTACTTCCGACAGGAATAGACCTGTCTTTCAAAAATCCATCTTAGTCACTTGTACTTCTGTCGCCAAGGGATTTCCTGGTATAACTGTCTAATAAGCCAAGGAATGAGCCAAACTAGAAATTAATAGAAATTAATTAAATCTAGAAATTAATGCTCTTAACATTTTTATAAAAAAGGAAATAAACTATTAAAAAGCATAATTAGCTAAAAAAAAAGAGAGAGTATGATTAAATGATAAAAAAAATTATCATTTATATAATTTGATAAAAAATAATAATCAAATAATATAAGTGAATTATGCTTAAGCTAATAATAAATGAAGCAATAAGCAATCTACTTAAATAAAAATTATAAATTATAATGGATAAATGAATTATGGATTTATATAAATAAATTATGAATTATGGAAAATGGATTTTATCAATTTTATCAATCTTCTCTATAAAAAGAGCAGAAATTTAAACCGACCGGAGAATCAAGTAATTCATAAAGCCATTGAACTGTTTCTATATGAGCAATTATTCCATTCATTCCATCGACATATAACATAACTTGGCCCATTGCTATAATTTTAAAAAGATTTATATTTTAATTTTAACCTGTGTCAGCTACCATATCCATGAATATCGAATTTTTTTTTAAAGAACTCAATTCCAAACAACTCCAAATTAACTTAAGAAGAAATGATGTGCTTATGATAAAATTTCTAGAAAATGATAAAAAATGACCGCGAAGAATATAGTTCTGATGATTCTGATCAGCTTTTCTTCCAAGTTGTATTAAACATTGAAGACCACCATTCTGTACAAATTCATGTACCAAATCTTTATCATCCTTAATTGTTTATTCATTGGTATTTTTATCATGAAACCATTAAACTCTGAGTATAAAAACAGCATCTCTTATCACTTTTTATCAGCATTTTTAATATTGAAGAAAATTTTTAAAAAAATGCGGTTTTGTTTAATTGTTGTAGTAATTAAACAAATTTAGCTTTTTCTTTTTCTCTTTTGATAAATATATGTGATTGATAAATATATAATAGGACATATGGTATTTCGATTTGACCACAATAAAAATAATTTCATCTGAATTCTAAGCACCTGGCATTGAATAATGACAACGAACAAAGGGTTTCCGAAACGCAAACTAATTCATTTCCTTAGCTTCAGCATTATAAAAAGGATATAGAAAATTTTTCTTCGTTTGAGTCCTTCGTCTTTCATTTAATTTCGAAATAGGCACCAGTAGTAGATGTCATATTTTATTTTCTAAGATATATCTTTTCGTTGTCGTGAAAGTTTTGAATAAATTTAAAAATTTTTCTTACCTGAAATATTTGCTTTAATGAAAATAATGCTCGCCTTTGATCACGACCCGATGAATTTAATAATTTATCTAAAAATTTTCAAATTTTAAATTCATAATTTTATTGTCCAATAAGTGAAAAAAAATTTAATATTGAAATTGATAAAAATTTGATGATTTAATAAAAATTTCGAGGAAAAAAAAGGCGATCATCAGAAAAAAATTGAAACAACTTAATTTTATATGATTTTTATATAATTTCATAATTTTATTTATATAATTTTATATGACTTAATTTTATATTTTTCATAATTCATTCGTATCAAAATTTTAAAAGGAAATTCATTAGCGTTATCAGTGATAGTATTTACAATCACTAGAAGAGGCAAAATAATGAGTTGATAAGAAGAAGAATAAGTTAAAACAAGAAAAAGAAGAGAAATAAGAAGCTAGCTTTTGGAAAATCGTACCGATAACGGCGTGCACTCTAAGTCCAGGTTGCGTCCGAACAACAAGGCTATTGCGCCTCCTACAAAGCAAATTCGATTAATAATTCATTCATTTTGTATTTTAGTAAATTTAATAATTTTCTTATTTAGACCAATTTTTATAAAATGAAAGTTTTAATTTCATAAAAATTGAAGAATTTGGTGAGTGATTTAAAAGATCGGAGCAAATTACCTTGCAAAAATAACCATAAAAAATCTTTAAGTATTTATTAAAAAATTTATTCATATTTATCTTAGAATTTCCCAACAATTTACTTTGTTTAATTTTTTTAAATTATTTTATTTATTTTGTTAAATTTTTTAAATTATTTATATGAAATATACTACATGCAAATGGTCGGACTTGAAACTTTAAACTATTATGCAATAGAACATCCAAATATAATTAGATAAAAAAATCATTCTAATTAACACTTTTAATTACTGATAATTATCTATGTATTACCAAAAAATTCCTCAAGAAATGAATCACTGAAATTATTATTGATAATAAATATCAAATTATCAGGAAAATTTTTAATAAAAAATATTTGTCAATTTAGGAAAATTCAAGTTATATGAAACTAAAGTCAATGGTACGTAACATATTTTGTTTCGAAAATAAGAATAAAATGAGTATTTCAAGTTAACAGATAGAATTTAATCAAAAAATAAATATAGTTGCTCAATTGGGAGCGCCGATGCTGAAGTACGATTCCCCGCAGGAATAAACCTGTGCAAAAATCCGGGTGATGCTGGCGACTCACCTGTATTTCTATCGTCATTCTCTGCTCATTGCGACAAGCCAATGGAGCGAATTTAACCAGAAATAAAATAAACAAAATAAATAATATAAATAAAACTTTTAGAATTTACTTGGTTAAATGTAAGTTTTCTGATTCCAATGATTGGTCTTTAAGTTTATTTTGAGTAGTTGGAGCAACATTTTCTTTAAATAGCTTTCTATTCAAATGATTTAATGATTGAGGACTAGCAAGGAGATCCGAATGACGGTTAACTGCTTTGGTACCAATATCGATCGATTTAGAATTTAGGGTAGTTGATTTTGGTGACATTGCATCGTAATCGTCTAATTGAGATTCATTTTGACTGGTTTGATTAACTTTTGATTCCAATAATAATTGTGATTTGGAATTAAATGCATTTGATTTATCATTGGAATGAATTGATAGATGTGATGAAATCACTGGAAATGATTTCGATATACAAAGATTATTATGGCCAAATCTTAAAGGTACCTGAATATCTTCATCAATATATGGAATTTTTCTATCATCCATAGAATTATTTGCAATTGGCGAATCAACAAACTGATCAATAGACCTAATATTTTTAGTAGAATTGATTACATTATTACATTTCATATTGTAATCAAAATATGGATTCGATAAATTACGATTAAGCAATGAAACATTATTATTATTATTTACCGATGCATGACATATCGTATTACATGTAGAATTATTTGAATAATGCGGAGAATGTGAAGAGGATGAAGTTGACGCTGAAAGATTTAAAGAAGCTGGAGCTGAAGGAGTTGAAGCTAAAGATTTTAGGACGAAAGGCATTGCTAGTGATGAAATATTTGCAGTCGATGAAGCACGAATTTTCTTCATTTGAATCGACGAAGATTGTGAATTTTTTGCATAATCTGATAATTTCATATCCGAGAAAGCATGTTCATGTTTAGTTCCATTTAATAAACCATTACCATATGTTTGACTCGTTGATTTGATATGCCAATCAATTATTGGTGTAGTTTTGATAAATTGATTTAATTCATAAGAACTATTCTGGATATCGCTATTATTCTTCTTTTTTCGAGTACCATTAGAAATACAAATATTTGAACGATTATCGAGTAGAAGCGATTGGTTATTTTCTGGCCGAACCAATGACTCAGTATTCTTTGCGAACGTTAAATTGTTACCCGTTAAATTGTAGTGATTGATTGGTTTAATTACTAGTGGTAACCTTGCTCGAGGATAATTAGCAAAACGATAGGTATCAAATTTTTCCATTAAATTTTCAAAAAAAAAAATGAGATAAGCGATTTGAATCTCTCCTTTAAGAATTATTTTTTCAATGTCGACTTGAATTTTAGCAAGTAAAATTATAAAAAATAAAATTAATTTCGGTTTTAAATAGAGAATTATAGTGAAATTTCATGAATTTTTATGCGATTCAACAATAATTGAATAATTGAATAGCTCAATAAAAATTAAATATCGATGATGGTTCTTCAATATGTAATAATATATTTATTATATTATATAAATATATAGTAGTACAATGTTTAATAATAATTATTAAATGGAAACGAAAAATGATGAATGAGATTTACTTGAGATGAGATTAGAAAGGGAGACCTATTTTAGTGGGCGACAAGTAAATGTAAATGACACCGTTTTTGAAAATTGCTAAATCAATGATGATAAGTATTTGGTCGTATATGTACGGCACTGTTCTCAATATTCGTAATTATTAAGTCGAACGAAAATTTTAGTTGTAATTTTTAAATGTTTCTCGCGATAAATTTTACTAAAATTTATTAAAGAAATATGCAATGCTATTAAGTATTATTTAAAGAGAAGAGAAAAGACGATCGTACAATTAATACCGAAATTCGTATTTATTATGAAAGGAATTCTATGAATGAAATGAAATCTATGAACGAGAAAATTATATTAAAATCGAAGATGAAAGTGAATAAGAAAAATAAAATAATATAAAATAGGGATTAAGAAAAAAAAATTTTATTTTTTTAAATTTTTTTATAATTTATTTAATTGAAATTTGATTTAATTTTTATATGCAAAAAAAATATACAAATAAATAAGAAATATGAATATGCGAAAAAAAAATTAAATAAAAATATGTAAAAAATAACTAAATATAATAAAATAAAGTATTGCAAAAAAATAATTTACATGAAAATTTACAGCAGTAGAAGTGCCCGATTTCAAATACCTTGGGTCCATTCTAATACCGAATGGACAGGCAAAAGACGATATTACAACTCGGATCACGGCAGCTAGAAATGCGTTCTTCCAATTGACAAAACCTTTATGGAGTTGTCGTGAAATCACCATAAAAACGAAAGACCGCATCTATATAGCCGTGATCCGTTCAATCTTGCTATATGGCTCTGAGACATTGTCAATGACAATGGAGGATATTAAGAAGTTATCTGCTTTTGACCACTCTTGTCTAAGGTACATTTTACGGATCCGTTGAGCGGATAAGATATCACATGATCGCATCCATCTTCGTTATACCACTTGCATAAATAATGTTATCACAGAGCATCACCTTCGCTGATTAGCGTACCCTCTCCGTTGTTCACCACAGGAGTTGATGCATATTTCGTTATTGTTAAATCGTGTGACCGTTGGCGTAAAAAGCGATGTGGGCCAATCAAAACCTGGATTGATACGGTCAGAAAAGATTTTGAACATATAGATGGACCAGCAATATATGGACTTAGACGATGGAAAAAGGAATGGCTTCTATTATTGTCTACGATCAGACCGCGCCGCTTGGAAGCTTTTTACTTTTGTAGCCGTTGAAGCCAGCCTAACCAGTAATGGTGAGAGTTGTTAGAAGAAAAAGCAGTGGAAAAATTTTAATAAACTTTTAAATTTGAATGAATAAATAAATTTGAATAAAATGAGAAAATTTTTGAAAGAGATTTTTAGGACCAAAAAAAGCTCTTTTAAAAAAATTCAATTGTCAGAGCGATTGCAGAAAATTTGAGGAAATTTCAAGATAAGTCAGCATTATTTTTGATTATTTATTATGGAACAATTTATAAAAAAAACATCCTTTGACTGTCAATTTTTGTCAAAAAAATTGATAAAACTGATAAATCTATATCATATTATAGTTTCATCTTCCTTTTTTTAATGACTTATCTTAATTATCAATCCGAAAGAATAAAGAAATAAAAAATGAAGCTCAATATGAATTTTATGAGTTCAAATAGACAAATGAAATTGTTGAAGTGAAGGATGTTCGATGTTCAAAGAATGGATGGATGACCTTTATGGACATATTTTGACAATATGCAGAGCAGTAATCTTCGTCCCATTAATCATCTTTTATTATCGAAACGAGATTTATTATAAATAATATACTTTTTTAATTTGACAATTTTTATCATATTTTACTTAAATAAATTATTTTCAAATAGTAAAATTATAAAATGAACTAATTAGAATATTTAAAAAATATTTCTGTTTCATCATTTTTTCTGACAAATCTTTAATAAATCTATAAAATAAAAATGATAATTCGAACACAAAATTATTTTTTATTTTTCATTAAAATAAAAAATTCTACAATTCCAGCTAAATTTATTAGTGTAAATTATAATCGTTTCCAAAAATCTCAGCTAATTAGGCTCTGAAAACGACTAATATGGGTTGTAATTTTTAGAAATTTATTGAAAAATGATTAGAAATTTTTCGTTTGGTGATAGAAGTACACGTTCGCCACTAGTACATTCCAAACTCTTTAGTTCATCAATACGACAAACTCGGTTATCCTCGCCTTATTCCTATTATGAAGAGATCTCCTCTTTAGATGGAACTATTAAAATATTCACTATTGATTATTAAAAGATTCTTACTGATTTATTTTTTAAAAAAATCGTTCTAAAAAATCACTGCAAAATTGTCACTGGGATTTTTATAATACTGCAAAATTTATTATTTATTTCGATATGCATTACTTACGGATCTGCTTTAAGAATTTCCAATTCATCTTCTTGTTCAATTAATGACATATCGGAATCAAGATAACATCCAAAATCACCCATATTACCATCATATTTATACAATTGAAGAGCAGCATTACAAGCCTAAATTACAAAAAAATTTATAAATTTTATCAATATTTTTATTATTAGTTTTTTTATATAAAATATTTAATGTTATTAGTTAATTTTAATTTTAAAATTTATGAAAAAATATTTTTGAAAATTCTAATGATTAGAAATAAATAAATTATAATTGTAAATTCTTGTAAAAGTATATTTTCTCAAATATTTTCATTTCTTTGTTTGTTAAACGAGACGAATTCTTGCTAGTTTTTTGAATGATAAGTTTAATTCTACCGGGAATAGAATTCCAGCATCGTTTTTGAAATGACAGCAACAATTCATTCTACCTCTAATAAATTCACTTTTTTCTAAGATCGCTCACCATTTTTTGGTTAGATTTGCCTCATTTGGTTTGATAAACTAGATATTTTTACCAAAGTATATCACTTAGCGGTAGAAGTTGAGGTGGGTTGCTAATGGTACTCCTATTTGTTTTCTTTGAAAAAAACAAGTTTACTCCTACTCTGAATAGAAATCGAGTGTTGGCTCCAAAACGACAGCAAAAACCCACTGAACCATTGCATTATTACAAAAATTGAATTTGATAGATAAATTTTCAATAATCTACTATGAAAGAGGTGAAGATAAAATTTATCAAACTGAATCAAATAATCGCATACTTTATGAGGAGCTCTTAAAACCCGAATAACTTCTGGTATTTGATCACCTATAGATTGATGTAATAAGAAAGTATGCATAATAGGTCGACTCGGTTCAAGATGTGAACTCGATGTTGTAGCGAATGGATCTGAATCGTCGACGTATTGAACACGACAACTTATACTCTCCTCCATTTTGGCTTTATTTCACCCTAATAAATTAATCATTCTTATGAAAAATTTTATTTTATTATCGAAAGACGAATAAAGAATAACGAATAGTAAAGAATTTAAAGAAATGTAATTCATATGAATGTAATGAAGTGTAAAAAACAAAAAATTTTCATCGAAAAAAAAACAAGATTAAATAATATATTAAAACAATGAGATTTTTAAGGCAAATTTTTTTGATATTTGAACGAAAATAAAAATATAAAAATTTTGGCTTAAAATATGCCAAATTATATCAAAATCTGGCTAATTAAAAATAAGCCAAGCCATAGACTTTCAGTTTTAAAAATTTTATATCGAATAAATTTGAATGTCATTGACAGTTCTAACAGTCGTACATTGAAACATGCAAATATGCATGCAAATAAATATTAAAATTAACAAATGAACGCAAGTCTTCATTAATAATCAGATAGTAAAATTTTCAGCGCAAATAGAATACCGAATTAGAAGCAGATGTTGAGTTCGATTTGGATATACAAAACTGGTTGGAACTACATGTATGCCTGAAAAAAAAAACGATCCGTCGTCATAAACTATGGAATCTCAACATATCGAGTCGAAATGCTTTGATATGCTTCAAAAAGTGTCGTACTTCGAGGAAAACCCTTCAAAGTCAGATTAATACTTGCAAAAATCTCCAAAGATCCATTGTATTTTTTTTGCAGTATTCCATTAATGAAGTCATTAAGTATCCATACTATCTATGTTATCCATACTATTAAATTCTCTTAAAAAAATGCTTTGATTTTTTTCTCATAGATCATGAAATCAAAAAATGACATGACAACGGTGACTGGTGGTATTATGAGAATATAATACAGAAATCAGGCAATGCTGAAGAGGATTTGACGATTGAAGATAGTAGAAGCAATTCGAAATTCAAAGAATGATACCAGTTTCGAGGGGATATCAATGAGAAACCTAGGTTTGCAGACGAGTTTAACCATGCATGGAATGGAATGTCTTTGTATTAATTCTTAATAGCTGCACAAATTTTTACACAACATTTTCTAGATTATATCATAATGTATCGCTCTTTCTACAAAGCTAAATTGTTTCGTGAATCCTACAGAGGGGAATTAATCTCGATTTTTTGTTTTGTCACAGATTTCTAAAATAAACGAACAAATTTCTACTATAATATAGTTTTTTTTTTCCTTTATCTAACGATATTCACCATTTTTGTGAATTCTTGGTGAATTCTAGCGACCACGCCAGAAAATCAGTTAATGCAAATAGAAATACAAATGGACGCAAAGCATATCAAATGATTTCATTTTTTTTGGATAAGTTCGGTCTCTTCGTGGCATAAACCAAATTCATACTGTTGTTGATCTTGAGACCATAAAAATATTGCAAACGTTTGATAACATATAATATAGCAGAATATTTGGTTATCAGATAATAAAAAAAATGGAGGAAAAGATGAAAAAAAGAATTGGATAAAGTGGAAGGATTTTTTAGTCTATAAGGAATTAATATCGACCATATTGAATGGTGAATCTTAACTGGAACCACAGGTGTCTATTTTTCGATGAAATAATAAAACAAGTCGGATGCTTGCTGGAAACCCAATTATATTTCTATCTCAACTGTCTCCATGGCGAAAAACCTTCAAATAATTCTCAAAGCCTGCGTATATGACCGCACATATTTGTAACGGCAATGGCTACGATGCAATAACTCGGGCTAAAAGAATTAAATGGCGGATAGAATGGCTCAGTGGGTTGTTGCTCGATTAGGAGCGCCGATGCTGAGGTTTGGGAGTAAAGCTGTACAAAAATCGGCTGATGCTGGCGATTTACCTGTATTTCTACCGCTAAGGGACTTCCTAGATATTGCTCAATGCGACAAGCCAGTGAAGCGAGTTTAACCAGTAATGGTGAGGACTCATAAAAAAAAAGAAAATTAAATAGGCAAATATCTATATTTTTATCAGTGTTGTAATAATCGTCAAATATAATAGCTTTTTTCAGTGATATCGTTCATTAATAATTTCTAAATAGCAGAATTTCTAACAAAATAAAAATTTTAGTTCTAATGCAATTTGTGGAAAAAAAAAACTTTCAAGTCTATCATTTTATTTCATTTCATAAGAACTTATGAAAACAAACAGAATGATAAATAAATAAATAAAAAAATTTGAAATATAGCCATGCATCAAAGAGCAATTTATGTGCTAAATTTTTTATTTTTTTTCTTGTAGCCTTAGAAATCATTGTGCTGGAAAAAAAAAAGATAAGAAAGATAATAAAAAACGAGAAAGATGAAATAAAACGGTTGTTTAAATCACCCTGTTGATTCGTTATTTTTCGCACTACTGGTTTATCAGACTAGATAGATAGATATTAGGAAGTTAATCTGATGATAGAACTATAAGTGAATAGTCCGTATCATCTGGATTTTTGTACAGGTTTACTCTTGCGAGGAATCGAACCTCAACATCGGCGCTCCAAACTAAGCAACAATTCACTGAGCCATTCTATCCTATTTGTGCTTCTACTGGCAACAAAACCAGAATATCATCGTTTCGAACAATTCACTGAGCCATTACGCCTCCACTGAATGTTAGTTAGATTGAAATATGAGAAGGAATATTTTAAAATATATATAATTTTCCATTATGATAAAATGAATTAATTGAACAAAAGTGGACAAATCGTTAAAATGAAATTTTTTTTTTTTTTCATCGATAAAAGTGTTTAAAATTCAGCAAAATTTTAAATGATAAATCAAAAAGAACAAAGGAACGAAACGAAACTGCTTGCCAAAATAGAAATTTTAATTCTTTATAAATCTTTCTTAAAAAAAAAAAAGTTGCTATTTCAGAAATTATTTAAAATTATTTAAAATTAATCAATTTATTAAAATTATTTGATTTTGATTTTTTGAAAAAAAATTTATGATAAATTCCTTTTTTGTTTTTCATTTTTATTTTTCTTGAATATAGCACTCATAGTTTTTATCATTTTGACTATTACGCATTATTCATTTTTAGGAAATCAAAATTTTTTATCGCTATTCCATTGTAAATGATAAACAATAATCGCATTTTTCCTCCTCTTCCTCCTCAAATAAATGAAATATAAAAGCGAAAAGAAATTAAAAGAAAGATGGCACGAAGAAAGAATTTTTAATGTGTTATTTATACTATGAAAAAGGATTTGCTCTCTTTACACATCATTCATTCATTAGTTTGTATAACCAACAGCTCGAGCTACGTAGGCTAAAAATTTAGTGTAATATAGCCGCATAGACATTTTAACAACACTGTCACTATTGACATGCGTTTTAATCATTGTAAAATTTTCCAAAAATAGTGAAAATTTTTTTTATAAATATCGGTGAGAAAAAAAAAATTTAGAAGAAACATTTAAATGATTCAATGATGCAAATAATATCGACAATAAGTGAAAGTATTTATTAAAAAGAAAAAAAAAAGTTAAAAATTAAATTTAAAGACGATGAAATAAGAGTGATAATAAAAATTAGATCAACAGAAATGAGGACAATGTGATAGTTAAGAATAGCATTTATAGCATTTAATTAAAATAGAAGATAGACGAGTGATATGCTATTTCGACAAGAAGAATTCGATCATGAATTTGATTTCTATCGGTTATCAGTTGATCGGAGTAAATTTGTCATAAAAAATCAAAATGATTTTAAAGAATTATGAATATCCTTAAAAATAATTTTTAGGTGAAAGAGAAGAAAGATTTTATCGTTATCAGTAAAATTAGAGGCCAAATCAGAAATGATAAATATTATCAACAGAAGAAGAAAAATAAGATAAATGAGGGTTATCATTGCTGTGATAATAGAAAAAGAATCGCAATAAAACTCTTTTAAACTAATTTTTCTTCATTTATTACTTTATCTTTGAAAAAATTCATCGACAAAATGCTAAAAAAGATGCTATTATAAAATTATCATATTTAATGCAATATTAACTAATATGTTCATAAATTGTGGTTAAGAAAAAAAATTTCCAACTGATTAATTTCCGTTAAATTTAAAAATTCGATTTATTAAATTTTAAATCGTTTCATTAAAAAAAGTAGCAAAATTTCTACATTTAAATTTAGACAATATAAAAATTATTTTATTATAAAGTTATATTACTTTAACTCATAATTTATAGTCTATTTAGTAAGTAAAATAAGTAAGTAAATAGTTGACGCATATCGTTTCTGGTTAGGCTAGTTTTGCTGACATTAATACGAATAAAAAGTGCCTTTCCAAAAAGTTGACCATAAGAAGAACAGGCGAATCGTCACCTTAAACTACCTTTAATAATAATAATTTAAAATATAGCATAAAATAATATAAAATAATGTAAAATAGCAGGCGCAACAGGTATATTCCTTAATAATAGGCGTATTAATATTATGATGTGGGGATCGAACTGATGATACTTCTTCTTCTAACAACTCTCACCATTACTGGTTAGGATGGCTCCGCTGGCTACAACGGTAAGACGCTTCCAAGCGTCGCGGACTGTCTGATCTAAAATTTATACGCAAAACCTACTTATTCGTCTATTTTGTTTGGTACTTTCCTAAAATCTTAAATAAATATTTCAGAATAAAAAAAGTTAATAATGTTAACACGAATTGAATTTGAGGAAAAACCACGAAATATAGACAATTTGCCTCAATTAAAAAATATTTTATAGTAAATAATTTAAGATAAACAAAATTTAAGTAAATAGAAGATTCACGAAAAAGTAGTATATATTTTATTATAAACGATTTGAATAAACGAATTATTTGCAAAATTTTCTCGAAATTTAGATTTAACTAAAAATTATTTCGATTACTTATAAAATCACTTTTAATAAAATTAAAATTACAAAATCTCAAATATAAAATTACTTTTATTCCGCAATTATAAAATAGAAAAAACAACTAAATTTACGAAATCTTAAAAATTTAATAAAAATTAATTGATATAATTGA